ACTAAGGCAATTTATATCATCCATTGGTATTGAGTACATATTTTATGTTTTACCCTTCAGAGGCTTACTTCAAGCAATTTGAATCCTTCAAGGGTTTTCTACACTTCATGACATATTTTCCTTTGGAATTTATACAGAGCAATTTGCTTCCATGTATACTTGAGGGATTTACTTATGGAGATATAATGTGGGCGACTCACAACCCTTCGTATATAATTCTCCATTTATATGAACTTGTTTACAACCTTGTGTCATATCATGTAAGTGTATTACACTGTATTACAAATGCCCATATATAACCTCCTTGGTTCAATATCTTTTGGCTATTTGTATTGTATTCAAATATATATAGGTTCATTTGCCCACGTTCTTACAAAATTGTAATGGAATTGCCTTTCTCCATTTTGGCCAATAATTTTTCTTTTGTCGACAAACAAAAAAACGTGACTCAATATTAACACAGCTCATTGATGAATTTAGTAGCTACTTGTAAAAACCAAAATTACCATTGGTTATCATCAATCTGTGATCCCATATTCTCATGTGCATGCGCATGCATAAAAACTTTTCATTTCTTTGGATATCCATTGCCTCTTCAAGGGCATGACGCTATCTCTTCCAGGATAGTCATAATTTAGAGAATGTGGACCATAACCTCCTCTTGAGCGTTATAGAGCTTGGATTTTAATCTCCACTTCCGGGAGTTGAGTCATTGGAACCTATATGTCTATTATGCTCTATGTATGAGACATCAACATTCCCATGTATGTGGATTGTCCTATCTGGGACGTGTATCCATGCGGCGACTGTCATGCTTCTGGCATGCAACAGTTATGCTTCGGGAATGCAATAGTTCAGTAGTGCCATATTATTCTTCTTTCGAATAACTGAACCTTTTGAGTCTAAAAATCTGCCACGCTTCAGGTGTGCAACAGATAAATCATTTACTGTCTCATTATTTTATCCAACAGAGACATCAATTCTTGTAGGCACATTTGCAGTAAGTATATATGATTTCATCACTTTCGTTGCATCATTCAATTATTCATATTTCATTTTCTCATTGATTGCTTCGTGAATCAAAATAAGACAAATTCTCTTCGTTCTTCTGGAACGGTCTTTTCTCATCATTCTTTTGGAATGATATTTTCTCATCGTTCTTCTGGAACGATATTATTTTCTCCCCCTAATGGCAGGAAAATTGTCTTATCAAATGACAGTCTGCAAACCATGCGGTAAACATATCCCTAATCAAGAATTCCAAATATTGAATGATAGATGATGTTCAACATCAATGCCCATTTCAGTACGTTGTGGCAGTGCAATAGGCACATAGATAACACAACCAAAAACTCGTAAATGTATAATGTTTGGCTAGTTCCCAAACACGAGTTGTACTGAGCAATATTGATGGTTGGAAATTGGTCTCATCCGAACTTAATAATGCGTCATGTAAAATGACATGTCCCCATGTAGAAAACTGGTAATTTCGTTTTCATGAGCAGAGCGCGGGTAATCAATTTTATCCGCTTAATAAATGCTTCTGCTAAACCATTTTAAGTATGGACATAAGGAACTTCTGGTCCTTATTAAATAGTCTATGGACTGAGACTTTTATGACCTTTATTATAATTAAGTTGAGGCACTGTGGCACTTCAAACTTAAGGTACTTATCAAGAAACTTCATGTCCGATCTTGAGGATCTAGGGACTTCATGTTTGATCCTTTTGCATGATGGAACTTCGGGTCCTATCATTTTATGTGATGAGGATCAAGAAACTGCAGGTTCTGATCTAATCAAGGAACTCTGGGTCCTTGTTATACTCATCGTAACAAAAGATAAGTACAATAAATAAATTAAAGCAATAGGCGGTAATTCCAGCCATAGTAAATAAATTGAACAATAAATAAATTAAAGCTTGTGACAAGGGCTTTAATTCAGCACCATTCACATAAATCAAAACTTAAAGCAGTAGGCGGTAAAACCGTCCATGATAAATAAATTGCTGTAAAGTAAATAAAGCTTGTGACAAGGGCTTTAATTCAGCACCATTCACATAAATATCAAAGCTTTAAAGCAAAGGGTAATAATTCTACCCACTATAAATAAATTGCTTTAAATAAATAGAACTTGTGACATGGGCTTTAAACCAACACCATGCACATAAATAAATATATAATTTTATTATTTCTTTTCATAATGGTGATGGTCTCATCAACTTCCCACTATCAACTTTATTATTATTTTTTATTATTTCTTCCCTTCACTTCTGTCGGGGCACGGGCACCCATCCAAATTGTCCTTATTTTATTAATGTTTTCATTTCACAACAAGTCCTTTTAGTTACTCAGGAAGTAAAAATAACAATAAGTTCCAATTGGTGTTCCTCCTCCGGTGAGTTTCGAAAAAGTCGAAACGGTTCCCATAAGTTTTGGAGTCAAGAGTGTCTGCAACTTATGAGAAGATCAAACTGTTAGATTTAGTTCAAATTTTAGTATGATATGGATAAGAGGATACCAAGCAACTTTCGTGAAGAAACAATTTCGATTTGAGCTACAGAAATAGAGTTATGGTACTCATAAGGTGGATGTCCAGTTTTCTACGGAAATTGGAAACTGGTTTGGTATTTCAGACATCTGCGACGATCGCACCGTTAACATTTTCTGAAATTTTGATATGTTGTAGATACTGAGCAGACGAACAACTTCCAAGAAGAAAGTATTTCAATCCGAGGTCCGCAAGTTGGAGTTCCGAGGCTATTTACATGGCTGTCAAATTCTCTTACAAATTTTGAGTCTTTTACTCTTTTGCTTCTGCAAAGGATGATATACAGTCATATAACAATATATATAGTTGCTTCAAGAAATCAATTGTACTGAGATTTGAAGATGAAATGAAATTTTTTTCTTATCTATGAGATTCCAGCTGAAGGAGGTGAACAGGATTTGTGGCGTTGTGCTTTCCACTGACATGAGAGCTTCTCGTGCTGATAACGTGTTGTAAAATCGACTGTGGGTGCAGTGGAATAAATGAAACAAGACACAAAATTTACGAGGTTCCTCTACAGTCAGTGTGACTGGAGTACGTCCTCGTGGCAACAGTGGTGCTTTCATTATAATTTGAAATAATAGGAGTACAAAGATAACTCTCTCTATTATCTCCTCTTATCTTCCTCTATTTTCTCTCTTCCTCTTCCTTCTCTCTCTTCCTCTTCCTTCCTTCCTCTCTTTCTTTCCCGTGAACTCTCACATTCATCTCTCTCTTAGTTGTGTTTCATAAGGCTTGCTTTTATAGAAGCAAATCACATGCTAAATAGTGGAAGGGCAACTTGCCCATTATTTGAGTGGACATCCATTTCTACAACATTCTATTCTTTTTTTCTTTATTTAGGTAATATTGGCTCCTCAAGGATTTTTTGCGGAGATACTTCTCCTTCAAATATCTCGTGTCTTCTCTACAAAAGTTTGTATTTATAATTGAAAGTGTTCATATTATCTATGACTATAAAAGATCATATCTAAAAAAAAAATCAATTGAACGAAGATCGTTTTGTCCTTGAATTGTACAAAAACAGATAAACAGATTTAGTAAAAGTCTTACAAACCATTTATCTTTTTATTACAACTGATTGACTAAACGTTCTTAGTTTGAATTAATTTTTTACATAGATGACTATTACAAAGTGGTTTATAATGAAATGTTTTGTTCGTAAGCATTAAGTTTTGTGAATAGGCCACAAAGTATTTTGAGAAAGAACTCCTCCTTAGCCTTAATGAGCCAAACTCTTATGTTAATTGAATTAAGAATAGAGGACCTAATCATTTTTTCACCATCATTTGGTTGACAACGAGTGTTTTGTTAATAGATAGTAATAGTATAGATAATAAGGAAAACTAATAAAAATGTCTTAAAAACTTTGAGTTTTAACGATAAGAACAAAATAAAGGGTAAATTGAATGGTACCAAGATTGCCTTTTTAGTGTAAAAATGTGGTTTTTCGTTAAAATGAACAGTACCAGGAGTTTTTCGTTAAAGTTCCCATAATAATACGAATGTTATTTTTTTTTATAATAAAAAAAAAGTCTAAAGTCCTGTTGTCAAATATAGTAGCAGACACAATACAAAATAGTCGGTTGCATGTTTAAATAGTCAATACCATCCAACGCACATGTTAGTTTATTTGACACAAATAGTCATTACAGTTCGACGTACCAAATGAGATTTTAGGCAATTTAGCATATCTAGTCCTCACAATACGCTCCATCTTAAGGGAGAAGTTGACATAGCTTAGCACCACAATTAGGTGAGCAACTTATATGAAACATGTTCACCTTCACCTGGGGTCCCAACCAATAATACATTGTCATGTAAAGAAAAACTTACACTTAGCAATGAACACTATTCTAAAAATCCCCAGCGCTAGGCAGCTGGCGATTGTCCCGATTAATGCCTAGGCGTTTGAAAATTAAGAAATAACACCTAGACCTGCTGAGGACCTCGCCTAGACCATCAAGGCACCGCCTAGGTTGCAACTCACTTAGATAGAAAATAGATAACTTTCATTTTGCATTTTATTTTTTTTAATAAATTGTAAGAGACTTGTTAAATTCTTAAATGAACACACATTGTATTCTTGTTCTCCATGTTTTCATTTTGTTCAAATACTTCATAATATATATATCATTCTATCTTGTAGTTTATAAGTAAAAACAAACATTTATTTACATAAAATATAATAAATTTATTTAAATCCATCCATTTCGTCTAGTCACCCGCCAAGCCGCTAGATCCAACCCACCATCCGACTAGCGGCTAGCGGCTTTTAGAATCTTGACAATAAATTAATGGATACAGGAGGCCACGTGGCGGTGAACAAGTTTTCCGTAAGTTATTCTCCACAACTATAGGCCTCCAAGGTGCCGCCAAGTGTCAGCGTTTCAGCTCTTTATCTCTCTAGTCTCTTTCCCCAGTTGAAATTGAAATTGAAATTGAAAAATAGCAGAACCGCGTTACAGCGCCACTTAACAGCAGAAGCTAGAAGACAAAGCAAACGTCAATGGCGTCCACCACAAACTTCCAATCCTTCAACCTTCACACTTGACACTCTCATACTGCATAGCATACCATACTAGTAGTGCTTGAAGAAGCAGCAGCAGCAAATCATGGACGTCGCCAAGCAATTTAAACGTCCGAAACCCAAACTCGACCGCCAAAACGCCATTAAGAACGTCGACTACGACGCCTCTACCTCCTCCCCTTCCTCATCCTCCTCGCGCGGCCGTCACTCCCCTCTCTATGACCACCAAACCAGTTTCCGCGTCAGAGGCATTGACGGCGAATTCGACCTCATCTGCCGCAGCCTCGGGCTTTCCGGCCCCGAAGACTTCGCCATCCCAATCGCCGCTTGGGAAGCCCAGCGGGCCTGCATTTCCTCCCACGTCACCCCTCGCTCTCGCCTCCACGATCAGAATCATCATCCTCAGTTGCGCGACAGAGCAAACGTTGACGTTTTGGAGAAGAAGTCCGAAGCCAGGGTTATGCAGCTCGACAGTGAAATCAAGGCTTCGAGTTTGGCAGAATTTGGGGGAAATGGAAGAAACGGCGGTGCTGGTGGAGGAATTAAAGGTCTCCGCCCGCCTCCGGTTGTATTGAAATCTTTTTCCCCTCAGGAGGACCACATTGGTGTAAATTCGCTGAATCGCGTTGGCAATGTGAGCTATTCGGATGAAGAGGAGCTTGCAAATGAAGCAAATAGCGAAAGGGAATCGGTAAACGAAGCAAATGACGAGTGTTTGTCATCCAACTCATCTCCATCCAATGACAATAATGATGATCAAAATGCAGATGACAAAGCTGGTTTTGTTGGCATTGTAAGAATGGACCCGGAGCCAATCCATAGTATTTTTTCACCGAATGGGAAATTCAGGCGGAGTCTTTCGTCATCGTGGCAAAAAGGTCAGCTTTTGGGAAGTGGTTCTTATGGCACTGTGTATGAAGGCTTCACTGAGTAAGTGTTCATCTTCCACATCCATATATCCAAAATGTGTATGAAGGCTAATTTTGTTCCTGTCTTGTTGTTGTTGGTGATTACCGCTATGTTTGAATTAAACCCAATCTGAACACGACTTGTGAATTTTATATTTGGTCCAATGCCTCTTACTGTAAAGACATTACTCTACTGATTTGCAAACTCTAATAAGTTACTTTGAATTTGAGACAAAAAAGAACAAGAAATAACCATACTTCGGTAGGATACTGGGAATTCGTTGAAGAACTTAGCGCTAACGAATAGAAACATAGGACACCAAGACTACCACCACTTTCATAACAAGGGGGACCGCCATTCATGGTTATACGATTCTCATTTCTAATTGTTTAGTTTTTTGTGCTGCAATCCATTTAAGCACTTGTTTCTTTGTAATCTTTTGCATAATGTACCCATAAAACTTTGAGGTAGTCCTAAAAAACTTTATCCCTACCATTTCCAAGTTTTATTTTTCATAGTGTAAGCATTCAATTCTACTTTAGGCATTTCCACTCAAAGCATTTAGAATTTTTCTTAGCAAGAAGTTGTACAGTTAGAAAAAGGATGGAGAAGGTGAAGTTGGGATTGCATTAAACTGGGGCTATTCTGTTCAACAAAATTAACATGTTGGTCTCACTCTCTCTGTTTATCTCATGCTGCAAATGTTCTTTTGCAGCGATGGATTCTTTTTTGCTGTAAAGGAGGTTTCTCTACTGGATCAAGGGAGCCAGGGGAAGCAGTGCGTTATCCAACTTGAACAGGTCGAAAGAAACAGTCTTATTCTGATTGTGTTTTCTTACTCAGTAGATATTATTGTGTTTTCTGGATTCCTTAACATTCTTTCTTCTAATACGATTATTATTGTACAGGAGATTTCTCTTTTAAGTCAGTTTGAACATGACAACATAGTTCAATATCTGGGCACAGACAAGGTGTGCTTCTTTCTTTCTTGGTTTGCATTTCTTTGGTTCCTGCCAATTTATTAGAAGTACAACTTTCTACTTATTGGGGGAGATTTATCTTTTCTGTTTGCATTTGATCTTGTTGTTGCAGTTAGTGCATAGGTATTTGTACCTGTATGTGTGGATGTATGTAAATGTATTTGTAGAACCATAAACGATCAGTTAAAGAAATGCTTCACCAATGCAACCACTCAAGCTGCAATCATAAGATAAAGTAGCTTGCTATATTTCAATGTAATTTAATATATTTATTGAACTCTCCTGATTTGTACACTAATTGTTCATTGTAACATTATTACAGGATGAAACTAAGCTCTATATCTTCCTCGAGCTTGTAACAAAAGGCTCACTTGCAAATCTATATCAGAAGTATCACTTGAGGGATTCTCAAGTCTCTGGGTTTACAAGGCAGATTTTAAGCGGGTTGACATATCTTCATGATCGTAATGTGGTTCACAGGTAATATATTTTGGTTCTGGAATTTTTGTATTGTGATCTTTCTTTCTTTGTCTTTTGTGGTTACACTGAAGGGATTGAACCATTGACCTATACTAATCTTAGTAGACAAAGCTGTGAACAACCAGTAGAACAAAATATAAGGTAGAGTTTGGGAAATGGGTGAGGGTCTTCCGAATTCCAAGGCATTTAGGCAAAATGAAGAAGAAATGGATCACAAAATGTTTGGTAGGAGGAATTAGAAATGCATTACAAAAGACATGATAGGGGAATTTGTAAATGACTAGTTGGAAGGAGTCATGAGGTGCATTTTCTAATTCCTTTTATCTGAATTAAAATCTCTCCCGTCATGTACTGTGAAACATTTTATATATGTAATTACAGTATAGGCCCATGTGGAGAGAAGATACAACTACGTAAAAAATAACGAACCAAGCAATCCTCATTTAATCTACACTAGTATAATTCCCTTGGACATATTTTTCTGCATGTGTTCCTTATATTGATATTGCACTTGTAGAAGTTTAATATTTGATTCTAATATCTATATTTACAAGATTATTTTTTCCAGGGATATCAAATGTGCTAATATATTGGTGGATGCAAGTGGATCTGTGAAACTTGCCGACTTTGGGTTAGCCAAGGTAGAATTCCTAGTACTAACCTCTCTCTAACATACATTTCATAGAATTTCTGTTTTTTCGAAATGCAAATCCATGGAATTTCTAATGCTGAATCATGCCACACTGGCCTTCTGTTTTTCTAGGCAACCAAATTTAATGACGTGAAGTCTTGCAAAGGGACTGCTTATTGGATGGCGCCTGAGGTTTGCCTCCTCTCTTTACGATAAATATGTTTGTTGTACACATCAGGTTGATATTTCAACAACCACCTTTAGATAGTAAAACTAGTATGATGCAGAGTAATTCATCTAGTTGTGATTATCCGTGTAGTTAGTGCCAATAACTTGTACTGTTTTACTGTTCGTTTATTTTATGACTAGGCTCTCCCTAATTGAAATTAGGATTTAGCTGTTATTGTCCAGTTACTCTTTGACGTACAAAACTTAATTTTCATCATTTACCTTGCAATAGAAACTGATTTTTTTTTCAGTTCTCATCCATAGTTAAATTTTCAGTTGCAGATATATAATTGGGAATAATTTGCTCCGAGCATGCTTATCTGTTTCATGGATTTTGAGTTAACCTGTTGACCAGTAAGCTGTAAAATTGTAGGTTGTTAATCTAAGGAATCGTGGCTATGGGCTTGCAGCTGACATATGGAGCCTTGGATGCGCTGTGTTAGAGATGTTAACCCGCCGGCCTCCATACTCTCACCTGGAAGGCGTATGTTCAACATTTCTGCTCATATAATGCTAATCTTTTACCTTTTCTTTAGGATAAGAAATGCATAACAATATGCCCGCATTACATTTTGACCTAGATCATTGGATGTAGGAGCCAACCTCATGCCACACATCCCCCACCGTGAGATTTTACCCGGATCATCCTACTTGTACTCGGCCTTTGTGCTACCTATTAGCAATATGTATTTACTCTTCCATGTACCTAGATTCCTTAATCAAGAGTCATGGACCTATGTTTACCCCTTACAAAACCTGAACCCTGCGATTTCTTCTCAGACATCAGTGACGGTTTGGGTAACCTTAGTATTCCTAATCAATTTGGACTGTCCCCTGCAGAGTCATTTAGGAATCGGAAAAAAAATCATGTTCTTGTTTGTGTTGATTGGCAGATGCAAGCATTATTTCAGATTGGCAAGGGTGAACCTCCTCCAGTTCCTGATTCGTTATCAAGCGATGCACAAGATTTCATTTTGAAATGTTTACAAGTTAACCCTAATAGTCGACCTACTGCGGCTCAGCTACTGAACCATCCATTTGTGAAAAGGCCACTCCACGCATCCTCTGTCCCAGCTTCTCCTCACTGCAACAGTTTTCATTCGTGAATGCTTTGGTCAACAAACCTCAGTGATATCGTAAGGTAATATAGAGGAACTGGTACAGCAATTTACTTCCCTTCATACGTGCTTAGCAATTGAATCTATATACGCTGTCAAGCCATGTTAGAGCATTAGCTTCCACGAACGTGGTTTGGGGAAGGGGATATGCTTCCAATATTTTCGCAAAGATGCGAATGGCTTGCGAATCAAAGAAAGCACCTCTTGGTCCTTTTGTGTGAATCTACAATATTAGGGACTTGACGGACCAGAGAAGCTCGTTCAAGGAGATGAACTGTGCATAGCCTTCTATCCGCCGCCCGATTATTCATTGAACTGGTTGGTCCTGGTACGGCAAAACTGACCCCGAATGCTTGAAAATGATGTATGCTAGTCGACAAGTTTGCGAGCAATATCACGGGTACTTGTACATTACTTAGAGGGCAAGTTGTTTTACGAAGCTACCTTGTTTCTGGGGGGGAATTAATTGTAATTAGAACAAAACAGGATGAAGCACATGTTGTAGATTATTGACTTGCTGTAAATAATTTTTGTGATAACCTCCTGGTGGGTACAACTCAATTGAATATGAGGCTCGGTGGATTTGCATCAAGCCCGTTTGATAACCTAATCCACCGAGCATGTTTGATAACCATTATGTTTTAGTTTTCTTGTTAGAAATAGAGGGGCCAAGATCTAAACAAGACCCGAAACTCGAAGCTCATACCATAGAATTCATCTGCAATTCTCACAGTATATCACCTGATTAGTAGAACTAATGAAAATAATAACAAACAAAGCTTTCCGATTTGCTAAAGTATATGGTTACATAAAATGGCATAAACTTTGTACATAGTATAAATATGGCTCTCATACAATACTCGTTTGGAAACTCTTCAACCTAAGAAACTTAGGATACCATCTGATTAGTAGAACTAATCAAAACAGTAACAAACAAAAATCAAAAGATAAATTAAGATGGCAGTTAATTACCCATCAGATGAAATAACGGCACTTTCAGCATGATAGTTTAAAACCAGTAAGCAGCAGGACGGTGAATCGAGTATGAAAGCCTATTGGAGTGCTGTTTCTGATTGCTGGTTTGCACCGTACAGAAAACCAAATTGTGATTCCAAGCAACTTTTGTGAGTGTCTGATACAGCAACAGCTGTTTCCGAGACATCTCTCTTCATTTCAAAAATCTTAGACTGCACATATTCTTTGTACTTCGAGACTGAGTCAGCTACTGCCATGAGTTCATAAGCGCACTTTTGGGTTTCTTCTTCAGTTTGTTTGATTGCATCCTGCAGTTTCAGTTTGGAGGTCTGCAAGAAAAATGAGATTGGTTATGATATCAAATTAACAAAATCCTAGTTAAGGATTTTCGTATGGCATAACAATTTGGTGACCATAACAAGTTTAAGAAAAAACCAACTTCTTGAAGTTAATTATTCAAGAAATAAGTTAAAGAAAAACCTTCAGAATCTCGTCTGCTTCTCTTTCCACAGTATTCAAGTTATGAGTCTCCCTCTGAACATCTTCCATCAAGTTTCTAGCTTCGGCTGCACATCTAGAAGTGTATTCCTGTGTCTCTTTCTTCAACAAGTTCAGTTGAGCTTCAACCTAACGGGTAAAATATACACAAGCAAAAGATGAAGTCAAAACAAAATCCTTGTAAAATTGTATTTCTGTCCCAAAGTTCAAACCATATTGGAGCAATAACCATAAGATGCTTCAAAAGTAAGGGTGGTTTCCAAGAGTCCCACCACAGGATCAATATTTGGAAACGGACCTCCCTATCCTCTACAAGGTAAATACGAACTTACATGATAGGATCAATAACCTTTACAATCGATAATTTACTTTGTTATCAGAGTTCATTATGTTAATAAGAAAGTTTCAAAACATACCTAAGACTTTACTGCATGAAGGTCTTATGCATTTCTAGAAGACACGAAAGAAATTTGGTGCTCAAAAACTTATGGGGGTAAGGACCAACAACAACAACAACAACAACAACAAAGCCTTTTCCCACTAAGTGGGGTCGGCTATATGAATCCTAGAACGCCATTGCGCTCGGTTTTGTGTCATGTCCTCCGTTAGATCCAAGTACTCTAAGTCTTTTCTTAGAGTCTCTTCCAAAGTTTTCCTAGGTCTTCCTCTACCCCTTCGGCCCTGAACCTCTGTCCCGTAGTCACATCTTCGAACCGGAGCGTCAGTCGGCCTTCTTTGCACATGTCCAAATCACCAGAGCCGATTTTCTCTCATCTTTCCTACAATTTCGGCTACTCCTACTGTACCTCGGATATCCTCATTCCCAATCTTATCCTTTCTCGTGTGCCCACACATCCCACGAAGCATCCTCATCTCCGCTACACCCATTTTTGTGTACGTGTTGATGCTTCACCACCCAACATTCTCTGCCATACAACATCGCTGGCCTTATTGCCGTCCTATAAAATTTTCCCTTGAGCTTCAGTGGCCTACGACGGTCACACAACACGCCGGATGCACTCTTTCCATCCAGCTCGTATTCTATGGTTGAGATCTCCATCTAATTCTCCGTTCTCTTGCAAGATAGATCATAGGTAACGAAAACGGTCGCTTTTTGTGATCTTCGCTAGATTGCTCCGGTCATTAGTGTGGATAAGTATATAAATGGATAGAGATAGGAAAGCAAACACAAGATGTACGTGGTTCACCCAGATTGGCTACGTCCACGGAATAGAAGAGTTCTCATTAATTGTGAAGGGTTTACACAAGTACATAGGTTCAAGCTCTCTTTTAGTGAGTACGAGTGAATGATTTAGTACAAATGACATTAGGAAATATTGTGGGAGAATGATCTCGTAATCACGAAACTTCTAAGTATCGGAGTGTGGTGTCGTCTTGACTTGCCTTATCTGTCTCATAGGTAGATGTGGCATCTTCTCTGGAAGTGCTCTTCCTCCATCCAGGGGTGGTATCTTTAACTGGTGGAGATGCACAAGGTAATGTATCAATTTCACTTGAAGCTTACTTGTAGTTTCAGGCTTGGTCAAGCGCGATACAAACCATGTAGTAGGAGTCCCCCAAGTCGCCGAGCTAGGGGGTCTGCTGAAAGAGGTGACAGACAAGGTAAGCAATCAGAGCTCCGACTGATTGTTCACCTTCTCCCCATCTTGCAGCAGCATGAAGGATAAAGAGAAGAAAAATGAGAAGAGATGATATGAGATACTTTTGCTTTTTGAAGAAGTAACTTTCCACAGGCTTATTCTTGAACTGAGCTGGAGGGTTTTCTGGTTTCCTCCAGAGTATAAGGCCGACTGAAGAATTTGAGGGTCAAAACAAGTCCATCAAATCTAGAGTACGTTCCACCCTGCTGATATAGGATACTTTTGCTTTTGACAGAGTAATGGATGTATCGGCACGTGTGCTGTTACGCTTGTCTCCACATGCTTCCTTGTATCCTTCGCACTTGCCTTATCTGTTCCTCAAGCAGATGCGGAATCTTCCCTGGAAACATAAGATGTTGAAGATGAGTACTCGAGAGCAATGCCAGGTAAGTAATCAGGTAAGGGGTTCCAGGCAGTCAGTTCCTGGCTGGAAGCTTGATTCCAAGTGCTGACTGATTGCTCTCTTTCTCCTTGTCTTGCAGGTAAAAACAAGGCCAAAAGAAAAAAAAACAGGGAAAAAGCATGATATGGGATACTCTTGCTTTTAACCCTGATGATATGAGATATTCTTGCTCTAGTATAGCTTGTTTGCAGAGGTATTATCGGGGGGAAAGAAAGCTGAATATTTCGAAAGGCTTTGTTGGGAGTGCCCTCTCAGATATGATGAAGGGTTGAGCATTTTTGCAGGTCTGCCTGTCCGTTGGGGATGGAGGTCGACATATATAGGAGTCTCCCTAACAACAAGTAGTAATGCTATTCCTTTACCCTGCTTGGTCATAGCACGGTAGTGGGAGCTGCCAGTTTCACATGTTTTAACTCTGTCAGAGCACTTTGAAAAAGTGGTCTGTGGTATCTGGCTCTCGAGATTCGGAGAACGATGCCTCTTCGATTTTTGAGAAAGCAATCATGTTGGGGGTCTGACTCTCGAGATTCGGAGAGCAGTGTCTCTTCGATTTTTGAGGAAGTAATCATGTTGGGAGTCTGGCTCTCGAGATTCGGAGGGCGGTGCCTCTTCGATTTTGGAGCAAGCAATCTTGTTGGGAGTGTTGTCTCGAATGTGAGTAAAGGTTGGACATGTTTGCTAGTCTACCTTGCCACGAAGCACAAAGGTTGACACATAGGGACTTTCCAATTATCCAGCAATGGTACTGTTCCTTTACCCTCTCTTCGATTTTGAGAAAGTAGTCATGTTGGGAGTCTGGCTCTCGAGATTCGGAGGACGGTGCCTCTTCGATTTTGGAGCAAGCAATCTTGTTGGGACTGTTTTCTCGAATGTGAGTAAAGGTTGGGCATGTTTGCTAGTCTACCTTGCCACGAAGCACAGAGGTTGACACACAGGGACTTTCCAATTATCCAGCAGTGGTACTGTTCCTTTACCCTTGTGGGTAATAATATGGTAGCTAGACCTTCAAAATTTATGTGTCTAAACTTTGTTAGTGCTGTTTCTTTGCTATTCTTTTACCTTTCTTGGTCAGAGCGATGTAGTGGGAGCTGCAAGCTTCACGTGCTCAACTTTGGCAGAGAACTTTGGCAAAGTGATCTGTGGTACCCATGAGTTTATTGTTGCGTGTGGAAGTGGGTGATTGAACAGTAAGATTCATGTGCTTTCTACTTCACCAGAAGTCTTCGACAGAATGCCCATAATTTCTGCGAAGCTGAGTGTGCGTGTGACAGGTGCTGACAAGGCTAGAAAAGTAGGTGCCTCTTTGATTTCTGAGATCGGCCCTCGTGGTCTCTGAGCAGCCCAGCTTTTGAGAAAGCGAGCGCCTCTTCGATTGATTCGGAGAACGGTGCCTCACCGATTTTTGAAAAAGCAATCATGCTGGGGGTCTGGCTCTCGAGATTCGGGGAGCAGTGTCTCTTCGATTTTTGAGAAAGTAATCATGTTGGGAGAGTGGCTCTCGAGATTCGGAGGGCGGTGCCTCTTCGATTTTGGAGCAAGCAATCTTGTTGGGACTGTTTTCTCGAATGTGAGTAAAGGTTGGGCATGTTTGCTAGTCTACCTTGCCACGAAGCACAGAGGTTGACACACAGGGACTTTCCAATTATCCAGCAGTGGTACTGTTCCTTTACCCTTGTGGGTAATAATATGGTAGCTAGACCTTCAAAATTTATGTGTCTAAACTTTGTTAGTGCTGTTTCTTTGCTATTCTTTTACCTTTCTTGGTCAGAGCGATGTAGTGGGAGCTGCAAGCTTCACGTGCTCAACTTTGGCAGAGAACTTTGGCAAAGTGATCTGTGGTACCCATGAGTTATTGTTGCGTGTGGGAAGTGGGTGATTGAACAGTAAGATTCATGTGCTTTCTACTTCACCAGAAGTCTTCGACAGAATGCCCATAATTTCTGCGAAGCTGAGTGTGCGTGTGACAGGTGCTGACAAGGCTAGAAAAGTAGGTGCCTCTTTGATTTCTGAGATCGGCCCTCGTGGTCTCTGAGCAGCCCAACTTTTGAGAAAGCGAGCGCCTCTTCGATTGATTCGGAGAACGGTGCCTCACCGATTTTTGAGAAAGCAATCATGCTGGGGGTCTGGCTCTCGAGATTCGGGGAGCAGTGTCTCTTCGATTTTTGAGAAAGTAATCATGTTGGGAGAGTGGCTCTCGAGATTCGGAGGGCGGTGCCTCTTCGATTTTGGAGCAAGCAATCTTGTTGGGAGTGTTTTCTCGAATGTGAGTAAAGGTTGGGCATGTTTGCTAGTCTACCTTGCCACGAAGCACAGAGGTTGACACACAGGGACTTTCCAATTATCCAGCAATGGTACTGTTCCTTTACCCTCTCTTCGATTTTTAAGAAAGTAGTCATGTTGGGAGTCTGGCTCTTTAGATTCGGAGGACGGTGCCTCTTCGATTTTGGAGCAAGCAATCTTATTGGGAGTGTTTTCTCGAATGTGAGTAAAGGTTGGGCATGTTTGCTAGTCGACCTTGCCACGAAGCACAGAGGTTGACATACATGGACTTTCCAATTATCCAGCAGTGGTACTGTTCCTTTACCCTTGTGGGTAATAATATGGTAGCTAGACCTTCAAAATTTATGGGTCTAAACTTTGTTAGTGTTGTTTCTTTGCTATTCTTTTACCCTTCTTGGTCAGAGCGATGTAGTGGGAGCTGCAAGCTTCACGTGCTCAACTTTGGCAGAGAACTTTGGCAAAGTTATCTGTGGTACCCATGAGCTATTGTTGCGTGTGGGAAGTGGGTGATTGAACAGTAAGATTCATGTGTTTTTCTACTTCCCCAGAAGTCTTTGACAGAATGCCCATAATTTCCGCAAAGCTGAGTGTGCGTGTGACAGGTGCTGACAAGGCTGGAAAAGTAGGTGCCTCTTCGATTTCTGAGATCGGCCCTCGTGGTCTCTAGGGAGCCCAGCTTTTGAGAAAAGCGAGCGCCTCTTCGATTTCTGAGATCGGCCTTCGTGGTCTTTGAGCAGCCCAACTTTTGAGAAAGCAAACGACTCTTCGATTTCTGAGATCAACCCTCGTGATCTCTAAGCAGCCCAACTTTTGAGAAAGCAAACGCCTCTTCGATTTCTGAGCAGGCGCCTCTTTGATTTCTGAAGCTCCGTCGAGTGCAGATTTTTTATAGGGGCTGGCATTAAGTTCCAAAGCACACTTGAATCTCTACCAGTAGAAGCTTCATTCTTGCACTTCTAAGATCTTGATTTGTCCGACCTCTTCTTCTCTTTTCAACACCTTTGAAAATGTCTGGCCCCTCCGACCGTCGTTTTGACTTGAACCTTGTTGAAGAGGCAGCCCCGCCTTCTCCAGACAACATATGGCGCCCATCCTTCGTCTCCCCAACTGGTCCTCTTACCGTTGGGGATTCCGTGATGAAGAATGATATGACCGCTGCGGTGGTGGCCAGGAACCTTCTCACTCCCAAAGATAACAGACTACTTTCCAAACGGTCTGATGAGTTAGCTGTTAAGGATTCGCTGGCTCTCAGTGTTCAGTGTGCAGGTTCTGTGTCTAATATGGCACAACGCCTATTTGCTCGAACCCGCCAAGTTGAATCATTGGCGGCTGAAGTGATGAGTCTCAAACAGGAGATTAGAGGGCTCAAGCATGAGAATAAACAGTTGCACCGGCTCGCACATGACTATGCTACAAACATGAAGAGGAAGCTTGACCAGATGAAGGAAACTGATGGTCAGGTTTTACTTGATCATCAGAGATTTGTGGGTTTGTTCCAAAGGCATTTATTGCCTTCGTCTTCTGGGGCTGTACCGCGTAATGAAGCTCCAAATGATCAACCTCTGATGCCTCCTCCTTCTAGGGTTCTGTCCAGTACTGAGGCTCCAAATGATCCCCCTCCGGTGCCTTCTCTTTCTGGGGCTCTACCGACTGCTGAGACTTCTCCTAAGCAACCTTTGTGAAGGCTCCCTCTTGTGTGTTTATGGGGGTAAGGACCAAATCAGTAAAACCAGAAAGCAGCATCAAGGCCTGTGTACAAAATCCAATGGTTTATGCCATGACTAGAACACCAGAGCTCTCCAAAACTAATATGCTCCCTCAGGCTGTATTTATTATGCCTGCCACTGTTGAAACTTCTGAAACCAGATTGGTTTCCTTAAACGGTTCATGTTTTTCTGGGTCTTTCTCCAAACAAGACGTATAATAGGTTTGCCGTCATCCAAAAGCACCCTTTATGTAGTTTGTGTGAAGCACAGTTCACTATTTTCCAGACCTTTTTTATAGATCCATCCACAAGATTAAAACCATAAGGTTGGCTACATGAATATTTTGTCATTACATTGTCTACAGCCAGGTTCTCATCCTTCATTTTTCTCACTTTGCCTCTCAAACTGATCAAACAACTCTGATGAATCCGACGCCCTAGATTCTACCAAGAAAAAGTTAAAAAGTAGGCAAACAAATATATGTTCCGCAGCAACAGGTACATGCCAAGAGGCGTAAATGACAACACGATTCTGAGATGGCCGGAGACGAAATGTTCCAGAAAGGAAAGCTCAAGACTAAACATATAGGGCCTTAAGAGGCCAATGCCAACAAAGATACCCTTTATTTCTAGGAAAGATACTCTCGGGTAGGTAGTTTGCAATTCTCTTACAGTAAAGCGGTGATCACTTATTTGGGATTTACAATTCAAAATCCTAGTTTAGCATATGATGTGACATTGTCAGTTATCACTGAACCTTTTTAACCTTCTCAGACACTTTTGAGCGCTCCAACCACTTTAAGCAACAAGTAGACCTTGGATATACACTCAATCCAAACAAAACAAAACAAAACAAGAAAAACATACCTTAAATTCCCAAATCCATCCCCTCTCCCATTCATAATTCTAATAAGAACACTGTTCACAGCCCATATATTGTCACTAGTTATATTTGCGCTTAGTCCCACAATACTTGTCTTTCACAGTTCAAAGTTTCAAACCATAAAGCTCCAACATGCTTCCTAACCTAGCAGCATTTATCCATTAAATCCAACCATTCTAATAATATGCACTTATGCAGACAAATATTTCTTTATAGTTGCTGCAACTTATAACTTTGAATCCAAAATGCAGATGAACTAAGAAAAATGTCAGTGCATGGGAAACATCAAACCCTACCCATGATTATAAAAACCCAAACACACTTTCTTACAAAACTGGAATGAGCTCAATGTAGTAAGGCAAAGAATCAACAACAACAACAACAACAACAACAAAGCCTTTTCCCACTAAGTGGGGTCGGCTAGTAAGGCAAAGAATCATTCAAATAAAATTTAGCATTTGAAATCTACGTGTTTTTGTTACAGTGTCCTAAAGATTTTAACATTTGAATTAATTTTGGAATAATTTATTGAGCAGTAGAAGAATTGTTTGTGGGAACGATAAAAAGGACTCATCATCAACACCAAATAGAATGGACTACGCGGTTTTGTGACAACAATAACCAGACCAACAAAGGAGACCTCTACATATGCACACCAAATGAAATAACTCATTCCCTTCCTATGCACAACAAAAAAAAGTGGCTTAATTTTGATCCACTTACTTCATCGATATGAGATTGAAGCGTCGCTATATAATTGCGTTTGCCCTCAATCTGAGCAGAAAGTTCACTTGACTGTTTCTGAAGGGATATCAACTCTTCCAGTTTATCCACAGAGCTTTTCTTTATATCGTCTAAGTAGGAGTCAAGTGAAGGCTTTAATGTTGATTTGTAGTCAATCCCCATAACCTCAGCTGGTGTTGATCCCTTAGCATTCAATCCATACTGAAATCCATTACCAAGTTTCAACCTGCTACAACGAAAAATAGGGAGAAATTGCATACAAAAGATTATTAAATTTTGTCGAACCTTGTAACACTGTCAACCGTCATAAGCCAGCAAACAATTAAAACAAATAAAAACAAGTAGGCAAACGACTTCAAACAAATCACTAGCCTTAATTGGCTCAATGCCAAATTGGATCGACACTATCGAAGTCAATGATATGCATCCCAAAACAATCACACACAAAAATTACAAATCTTTAGCAAGGGGCAAGAAAAAAAAATCACATGAAAAGGAGACAAACCTCCTCATAGCCTGGTTGCAGTCCATGGCCACAGCCTCAAGGTCCTTAAACTTATGGTTAAGCATGGTATCAAGTTCCCAAGCCTTCTCCTCCCACGCATTCCTTTCGAGCTCGGCTTCCCCAATATCCCTCTCTACTGCCTGCAATTCCCTCTTCATTCTATCCACATCCCTGGCATTGAAGGTCTGCAATTCCACCCTATTCTTCAACTCCGCATTCTCTTGGCAAATCCTCTTATTATCCACCACTTTGGCCTCCAATTCCTTCTCTCTCCCCTCCATCACCGCCTCCAAATTTGCGATACTCTTCTCCAGATTCCCTATGATTTCATTGAACTTGACCACATCCCCCTCCAACAAACCCCTCTCCTTCTCCAGCGCCTCCCTCCTGGAGGGCTCCGACCGCATCATCTCCACCCTTCCCTGCAGCTCCGTGGCGGTTGCCTCCAATACCCTAACATTCTCCTCCGCATTCTCTTTCTCCCTATCCAACTTGTCCAAGAAATCTCGGTCCAAGGCCTCCACGGCGTCATCGTCCCCGTGTATATAATGCAAGTAACTCTCCAGGGCGTACTCAGACATGGCATTGTTCTCGACGAAGGCCCGGGAATCGGTGGCGAGATGGTCGGTGTAGAGCACAATCTGGAAGACCCAGTGGATGACAGCGAGCAGAGTGGGCCACTGGTGGGCGTTGACGGTGGGGTTTCGGAGCATGGCCTTGTTGGGCTTGAAGGGGCATTTCAGGAATTTGAGGAGGAGGGGGAGGTCGTCCTCCAGCTTGGGGGAAGGGTAGTCGAGGCGGGCGAGGAGGAATTTTAGGGTTTCGGTGATTTCCCTGGCGGAGGGGATCGGGAATTTGAGGGAGAATTGGAGGGAGTGGGAGGACAGGTAGGAATTGATGGCGGAGACGGTGGACTGCTGGAAGGAGCGGTCTTTGTACAGGTCGAGGGCGGTGGTGGTGGGACCCATGCCCACCGAGGAAGGGCGGCTGCTTGCGAAGCTGGCATCGGAGTCCCGTTGGTGGCGGAAGTGGTCCAGCGGCGTTGCCGGTGGTGGGCGTGGGTTGAACGACTCCCTGACTCGCCCACGGCTTGTGCCTCTCATCTTTCTTCCCTTCTTTTGGCGTTTCAATTTTCAGACTGTTTTTCCCGCTCCTGCAAGTAGTAGTGGCAGCGACTAGCGAAAGATCCCCACTCTCCGGACCATGCGATCTGAGCCGTCCACTCCACACTTACGCTTGGGTGAACAACCTTGGAGATGTCCTTGCTCCTTGTATGGCTTCAAGGGAGCGACTCCTTACCACTTTAATTTTATTTATTCATATTGGCTGAAATTATTATTTGTGTTTTTTGGGGTTTCAAGGGTGTTATTAGGGGTGGGCAATAAAAAAATTATAAAAAAAAAAAAGAAACCACCGACGGTTTAGTTTGGTTTGGTTTTTTTTTTTTTTTTTAGAGTAAACCGAACCGCACCGACTAAGGTTGGTTTGACGAGCGGTTCTTATAATTCTTGGACATCGAGTTAACCGAACTAATCTGTGTGTTTGCTTTTATTTGTTTTAATCATAATAGACATATCATGTACCCACCACAACAAAACAAAACGTGGTAGTTTTGCGAACTCTTGTGCAAAGCTTATGCTTCTATGTTTACATAATTACATGGGTAGATTGTTATTAGGGGTGGGCAATAAAAAAATTTTAAAAAAAAAGGAAAAGAAATAATCGACGGTTTAGTTTGGTTTGGTTTATTTTTATTTTTTTAGAGTAAATCGAACCGCATTTACTAAGGTTGGTTTGACGAGCGGTTCCTGTAATTCTTGGACATCGAGTTAACCAAACCGATCCGTGTGTTTGCTTTTATTTGTTTTAATCATAATAGACATATCATGTACCCACCACAACAAAACAAAACGTGGTAGTTTTGCGAACTCTTGTGCAAGGCTTATGCTTCTATGTTTACATAATTACATGGGTAGATTGTTAGAGTGTAGGAAGTGCTGGGAAAGTTACTAGAGGCTTGGAAGTATGGAACTTTTGGAACTTTTTGATCTTTTGGAGCTTTTGGGACTTTAATTCTTAATTATCTATATGTAATGCTTTCTCCAGTATAACTTTTGAACTTTAAAAATGTCTGAATGTAATATTTAAGTATCTATATGTATTGCCTTCTTTGGTATATCTTTTGACCTTTGGAACTTTTGGATTATAATATTTTGAAAAATTGGAGCTTTGATGAATTTCTTTTTTTGTAACTTTAAGAATGTTTGAATGTTAAACTTTGAATTTAACTAGTGATCATACAAACCGAAATAAGATAATTTACAACGGCTCAACGAAATAAGACAATGGGTTAATGTCCTCAATGTCCTCTACTAGCCATCACTTTTCTCGAACATTTCAAATCACATTTTACAAACATTTCAAACATGCAAGTCAAATCAAATTTCATAAAAGTAGGAATTTTTATGAAATTTCAATCATGCATTTCAAATCGCATTTCACTTGAGGTGCTTTTAGAATTTAAAAATATTTTCTCATCGACATACAATACGAAACAAAGAATTCAGAAGAATATAGATGGATTCCAGGCCACTCAATGACATACAATACGAAACAAGGAACCATACCTCTCACTGAAACCCCAGCAAAAGCCGATTTCATACTACTCAACGGAATCGATCAGAATCCTAGAAACATAATTTACAACGGCTCAACGAAATAAGACAATGGGTTAATGTCCTCTACTAGCCATCACGTTCTCAAACATTTCAAATCGCATTTCTCAAACATTTCGAATATGCAAGTCAAATCAAATTTCATAAACGTATAAATTTTTATGAAATTTCAATCATGCATTTCAAATCACATTTCACTTGAGGTGCTTTTAAAATTCAAAGTTTTTTTTAATTTATTTTTTTAAATATTTTAGATATTTCAAAAACGTTTCTAGACATGTCTTATAATTTAACTACTATAGTCAGATGCACATTGTCTCCTAAGGTTGATAGCCATGCGAAATTGACAAATTGTCTCATAGGGCCGATAGCCACGTGAAATTGACAAATTGTGAATCTTAGGTAACAGGATCCTCTCTGGATCTTTTTGGTAAAAATCTTGAGAATTCGTAAATTATGTTCATTTATTATACATCATACAATTAGTTTTTGTCAGGTACTATTCATATTTAATTTTAAATAAAAATATTTAAAATAATTTTTAACTATATAATATACGATGAACGGATATGATTCACGAATCCAACGATAATCCGGATTCGAATCTTAGAACGTGGACACATATTTACAGTACAGCACGACGGCACGTGACAACGTGACTGACAGCGTTAAACCAGTGAAACTGAGCGTGCTCGACAGCCGCCCAAGCAGCGCGTGGATTCAAAATCAAATCAGCTGCCCCCACGTCTCCGATAACACATCAGAGGAGAGAGAAAGAGAGCGAGGAGAGAGATATATATATATATAGAGAGAGAGAGAGAGAGAGAGAGAGAGAGAGGAGAATACAATACAGTTTTCACAGAGAGTAGCGTAGAAATGACTCGAAATCGACGAAAAGCTTGGAGCTTTCTCTCTCCTCGTTTCTCTCTCTAAAAATGAAAGAAACATCGCCACAAAGAAAAGCTTTTGTGATTTCATTTCGCTCCCTCCCGCCCCCGCCCATCACTCTTTCGCATGGCTCTGAGCCTCTGCCTCGATTCCTCCGCCTCCTATGAAACCCTAATTTCCCTTCTTCTCCCCCAAATCCAAATTCCAAATTGCTCCGACTCTGACCGCCTTTGAAGTTTCAACAATCGCAGTAGTAGTGCATATACCTATATCTGGTGCGATTGCGATACTTTTTCAATTTATCTTATCAGATGTGTTTCTCTTCCTCCTTCATTTCTCGAGCTTGAGAGTCTGTTTGGTTGCCGAGAAATGAAAGGAAAATCATTAAGTTATGTGGTTTTTCTCTCTCTTCTGTTTTCATTTTCTTTTACTTTTCCAATTAAAAATTGGAAATTTTGAATTTTGAATTTTGAAAGCTGGGTTATCCTTTGCTTGCAAAATTGAGCAACCAAAAGTCCACAACTTTCATTTTTAACAAAAAATTGAGATTATTCACTTTCACTTTTATGATTTTATCTTTGGCTTTTTATAAAAGATTCTAATTTTAACTAAATTTGAATATTAATTAATATATTTGTGGATCTCTCTCATATGGATAAGAGGTGAGGTTCCATGTGCTTGGCCTCATGCTTTTGGTTGTAATTTGATTAATATATTAATTCCCTTAAACACGTTGTCTGTATACATCTCTGACTTGTTTCTGTTTCTCTTGTGATTGTATCTCAGACGCAACTAACTTATCTCGGATCCAGAATTGCTCTGACCGCCTCTCAGGTTAGGCTTTCTGGTTTTCAGTTTCAATTACCAAAGATTATATCTTTAGCTGGAATGAAATGTATGTGTTTCTGGGTATAATTGGCTTGATTGCGTGGAGTCAAGATTCAAGCAGTTTCTGGCTTTGCCCAACATTTTAATCTCTACTAATCATGTAGTTTTCGGGGAATTCTAGTTACTTCATTAGTTCAATCATTCAATATTCGTACTAGTGTCTATGCAATTGTGTGTCTTTTTTCTTGAAGAATCAATTGAGCACTGGCTGTTTTGACCCCTTCAATATCAATGATCTGAGAGTTGATCTCGAGGTACTTTGTTCTTTATTCTTTGGGTTTGATAGTTGATCTAAAAATTCAAGGCTTTTCGTCATTTTTTAGAATTCAATTGTGACAATTCATTTTGCAACTGTATTTAGGAAAACCCAATTTAAATTATTTCGTCCCAGTGCTTTTAGTTCTGTAGTCCTTTGAATATAGACCACAAGTAGTGATCTAGAAAGGACTGGTGTTCAGAAGAATGTAGGATGATTTTGGACCTTGCTTGCAATGGCTTTTAAGATTAGCAAATTTTATGGGCTTCTGAAATTTTCTTTGTTTTTTTTAAAGCATTAACTGTGGGATCTGTCTGCTATATGGATTTCTGGTCTTGCTAGATTGCAGAATTCTGCATTAAGTTGAGCAGCGTAGTAGAGTATAACTATTTGAGTCAGGAGGCTACCGTCCTTAACCAGAAGATTTTGAAATTTGTCAAGCAAGGATGCATATGTTTTATTTCATGATTGGAACAACTGTTCTGGATGGTCTAGATGGCCCTAAATCATTGCTGTCACATCTCTTGAACTATATGAAGGCACATGTCCCCTGAATGTAGTCAGGTAAAGACAGAAGAGGGCACTTATTTCTCTTCCTTTTTGGTTTTTTTGTCCTATTTGAACGTATTAGGCATGGTCAGCCTTTGTTTTTTTTACCCTCTTCCCTTGTGAATGGATATGCCTGTGCTTCACCTTGCAAATCGATATGCATCCGTATTTGGAATTGCAATCGTGGAGGAAATTGCATTTATGCATTTCTGGTTTAAAGAGTGATGTCTTAAGATTCTCCCACTTGGTGTTGGATGTGTTGCATGCTATGAGGACAGGGGATTCTCTTTCTTTTTTTCTATTTAAAAAATAATAATTTTACCGGACATTTTTTTTTCCTTCCCTTTTTTCCCCTTTTTGATAACCATGGATAAGAGTAAGTTGCAAAGTTTGTCAACACTCCTTTTTGTGTGTGTGCTTTTTGGCCACTTGTGAGGAGTTTTTATGAGATGACCTGATCTGAAAAATTGGTGATTGAAAGGCGCACTATGGATTCTTTTCAAGTTCAAGGTTCTGACATATTTTTATTCTTTTGAGACTTTGACAATTGAAGCACAGGATTGGCATCTGCAGTAATAGGGTGAACTTTAAAGTTCCATGTACGTATATCTGGACAATCACGGTTCTGGTATAAATTTTGCTATATCATTTGCAGGTAAATCATAGAAATGGCAAAAGGTAGCCGGGGACGACGCAGAATTGCTTCCCGACGATACAGAGCAACTCCATACCCATTGCAGAACAATCAAGATCTATTGGAGGATCTGTGCCCGAGGAAATGCAGAGACTTGGAAAAAAAAGACTGGGAGGATGCAACATGTTCTGTGTGCATGGAGTATCCTCACAATGCTGTCCTTCTCCTTTGTTCTTCTCATGACAAAGGTTGCCGTCCCTACATGTGTGGAACTAGTTTCCGGCATTCCAACTGTCTTGGCCAGTACAAGAAAGCTTATACTAAAATGGGGTCATCTGATCATGGACAACCATTGCTTGGCTCCAACAACAATCCAACTGCTGTACCAGATGCTGGATGGCCAGTACAGAGGTGTGAAGTTACAGAGCTTGCATGCCCCCTCTGTAGGGGCCAGGTGAAGGGCTGGACTGTTCTTGAACCAGCACGAGATTATCTAAATACAAAAAGGAGAAGCTGCATGCAAGAAAATTGCGCATTTGTCGGAAATTACAAGGAGCTTAGGAGGCATGTGAAGGAAGAACACCCCTCCGCGCGGCCACGAGAAGTGGATCCAGACCTCGAACAGAAATGGAGAAGTCTTGAACATGAGCGTGAGACGAACGATCTGATGAGCACAATCCAGTCTACCATGCCAGGGGCAATGGTTTTTGGAGATTATGTAATAGAAAGAAATAATTATGGTTTGGATACGGACGAAGAGGATGGTGGCTTTGATGCAGATGCTCCAGAAAGAAATGGGGGGTTCGGGCTGGGATTCGATGGCAATCTGGTGAACGTCTTTTTCCTATTACATGCATTTGGGCCATCAGGCACTGACCTGACAAGACGTCTACGGCAGCCAGAGAGGGCCTTCCACCACTCAGCGGACGGCAGTGCTGCTGGCATCAGGCACACAACTCCTATTGGTGGTTTAGATTCCTCTGATCAAGATGAAGAGAATGAAAGTGATGGTGATGACGACGGTGGTGGTATGTCGTTGGTGAGCCGCCTTCGGCGTCATGGGAGGGTGTTGTTGGGACGTTCTGGGAGGAGAGGTGCGCGTAGAGAAGGAAATAGTGATGAAAGATAAGTAGGAACACCTGTTTAGATACACAAATTTTAGGAGTGATTGCACAAAAACAAATAAAAGGAAGTCAGGATTTTAACTTTCTCGCATTTGCATTGGATTTATTTCTCATTTGAAAGGCTTGGGGCCTTTTCCCTCTGTTGTGTAATGTATTTTCAACATGTAATTTTACCTTATTCCTTCCTCAATGTATGAATGTAATTTTACCTTTCACCTTTTACCCTCCTCAATGTATGAATAAACATTTTTATTCTTTCATTTCCACTCTAATTAATCTGGTTACACTTGTTGTTTGCAATTTGATTTACTTAATCATTTAAAAAAGGGTTAGGATCGGGGGACGTTCATTAATACATTTTGTAGACACTAACGTATTTCAATAATCCAATCGTCATATTTTTTAGATTTTTCCTTAAAGATTATGTCTACCAATAATCTTGTAAAATTCGACTTATCTAGATGAGGAGGACGATTTCGAGGGCCGACAAAAAATTGGTGTGCCGATGCCCCGATCTCAAATTCGACTTATATGAATGAAGAGCACGATTCAATATTAGTTTGAAAGCTAATTTAGACCTATTGTGTGACTTAAGGCGAAATTATCACCAGGGCCGACAAACTCGGCCGAGTTCAAGTCTGATACTTAAGAGAGAGGATATACAGCAACTCTCTCGAAAAAGAATTTCAACCTTAAAATCCAAGAACTAAAGCGCAACTCAACTCAGCGGGACTGTCTTTTGGGTCTTCCAAATCCCAAATTCAGATTCTTCTTCTTCGTTGTGAGCTTGAGAAGTCGGAATCAGAGGACGGCAGACAAATAAACTCCGTTATCAAAATCGCGAAGGTTTCCATTCAACAAAGTGGAAATAGGAAAAAATTTCTCAGCTAAACAGAAGAAATGAAAGTCATGTACAGATTTGTCATTTCCCTACCAGCGTTCTAATAGTTCAACAGCACGGCAACTGCCGATAAAACGAAAAACTATGTCCGAATTCCAGCATTTCTGAACTGTGCTATAAATGGCGCAAAAAAAGAGGCCAAAATACATGTAATCAAAGGAAATTAGTGCGTATTGACATGTATACTAGACAACATGTTTGTTGATTCTTGTTAGAACACACACCTTAAGTTTCCAGCCTATAACTGGTTGCTAAAATCGGACTTGAAACTTAAAGCCCGCGGCATTGATGAACTTGGAGGGCATGCCATTTTCCACATGATATGGTGCTACAAATCTTTTCTCCTTATGCCCGTAGGAACACCATAACATACTGGTGATGCTCCAATCAAGAAAGGAAGACTGCAAGCTTCACGAGCTTGACTTGCGAATGATCCAATCTTCGGCCTATGATCACAAGAAATCGTCATTGGATCACTTTCACAAGCTTCAGGCAATTTCTTCCTCGAGACTTTCTTCTTGGCAATACCTGGACAGCCCGTAATGCTCAATGCCTCAAATTCTTCTGCTACTTTGCATTGGGCGCAACCCTCAGAGGAACTCGATCTTTCTTTTAGCCAACCATCAAGCATGGCCTTTGCAAATCGGTTGATGTCCTTGTCCGTCACTTCCCATAAATTTCCAATAATGACAGGAGAACCAGCCAGCAGATAAGATAGTGCGGGACCGTGTGGAACATAACAACCATTCAGTGTCAGACAACCACTACTACATCCCATCAAAAGAGTAGCAGCACAATTTTCCAGACTCTGAATCTGATGCATGGGAATATAGTTCACCCCTGTACCACAAGACATACAGACAAATGTTCGGTTTGATGTTTTAAAAACTTTTTATGCCAAATAATAAAAAACCAGAATAATAAGTATACTTATAATCAAATAATCAAATAATCAAATTAAACGCAACACTTCCATGGCCGATATATATAAATGTAAATAGTAAAGTATAATATAATCAAACGTACCACTTCCATGGCCGATATATATAAAGAGGTCATGGCTTTTCAAGGCTTCTGCCAATTCTTCAGCTGGGGGTGCACATCCAGCCTTCCCCTGTGCAGGGTATTAAAATGAAAGGTTACGGAAACATATAGATTTGTGTTTATATGTATATAGATAAAATATGCCACATCCTCATGCATCTAATTCAGACTCTGGTGAGGAATGTTTCAGAATTCCCCAATTATAGAACACATACGTCTGCGATAGTTGGAAAGAGAAAAACAGAAACCAGGATATTACCTCCAAATTTTGATCTCTGAACCACTCCTCAAATTCAATTTGTGTGATACCTAGATCACCACCTGGGTTCAGGAGATAAAATGCATCCAATGGATCAATCAAAGGGAATGAAGCCTTCTGACATAAGGCATGCGATAAGCCCCCTGGTTTCTTAGTACTACTTGCAACTTTATCTTGATGGTAATTCTTCTCCAGCGTTGCAAAGATGCTCCCAATAGAAGGCATGCGATAAGCCTCCTGGTTTCTTAGTATTGGTATATTCTCCCAAGGAAGCATCTGTTAATCATCATTTAATCAGCTTATTTAAATGATGATAGGTGTATTGGAGAAATGGAAAGGTATCAGGTTTTATACAGAAAAGTGTATGCTGCTAATTGCCTATTTAGCAAAAAGAAAACCAAGAAAGTTCTCTTGAATTTCGTATACTGCCTTGTGCAAAAAAGAAAGGAGAAAAAAAAACAAGCTATTTTGTCTTGAATTGACCTTGGATTACAAAAACATGAATAATCAACTAAGAGCAGTTTCATGAGATGACACACTCACTATATGCTCCACACATACAATCATCTAGCACAAACTTTCAAGAGACAAAAAATAGCTTAGGGGTTGCCCAGGGCTAACCTTTGTTTTTTTTTGAGAAGAAACAATTTTATTAAAGAATAGTGAAAAACATAGAAGTGGATAAGAAGTCCACCAACAAATTAGAAAGGAAAATCCCAATAGGATTTGGCTACAGTAGCCAATTCTAGACCTAGCTCACTTAACTGCTGCTAACAAATCCCACAATATTTGAGATAGAGAGCAATTATTAAACTCTTTAGTAACCGAAGCCCAAAAAGATGCCCAATATTTTACTCTCCCCCAAAGTACTTCTGCCCCCACTCCAGTATAGTCTTCAAAAATCCTTCTGTTGCGTTCCAGCCATATATTCCAAAAAATTGCCGATACCAGGCAACCCCACAAAACTTTGGATTTTTTCCCTTTTCCAAGTGCCTTAAAATGACTAACAAGTTAACGACAATTAGACCAAAATGGTTGATGACCATCTAGAGTTATGTAGGAAATCGAGGGAAAGACTAGGATAATCATAATATATAATGAATTATATTGATCAAAATGGTTGACAACTCTTTTTATACTAAGTAATTTCTTGGTATTCCGACACCCCTTTATTTCATTATAGAAAACTACAGAATTTGTTGACCATCCATGCTTTGCTCAATTTAGAAGATAATATTCAGAGAAGAAAAACATTTGGCTCATAACTTTGCAAGAAACCTCTCTAAATAAGTAGAAAACAGAGAAACCAAGCACATACCTGCACCTCGAAGTCCAGCACTAGAATGATGGGCTCTCTATTTACAGTATCTAGCCCTTCAAGCTCATTCACTGCTCCCTGTATTAGTTGGAAAGCCAACTCAGATAGTTTCTGATAACCATTAGATTCATTAGTTGACGCCAACCACTTATTTTCCTCGGAACATCCAGCTTTACCAATATAGCAACCTTTCTTGAAACAAAGCTGTGAAACATATGCGCCTCCACCTTCAAAGGCATATTTGGAACCCCCAAGAATGACTTTCAGAAGACTCTCATCTATGTCCATTTTGCACTTAGATTTCAAATCCCGCGCCAGCTTCTTATGTACCAAGTCCAGCTGCTTGCAGTTTGACGATTCTCCCAGAAGCAAATATTTCCAAGGACCAAACCATAAATCTTCTAAGTTCCTGGTGCATGAAGACATAACACCATGAGCGCCAAGTGATAGTTCTCCAAATTGTCTAATGTTAAAACATTAAACAAAGTACAGAATTTCGTTTTCATAAAAATTCTACTGCCATTAACAGAATATATAGATTGAAAACCCAAATCTAAACTCATTATCTCAACAAAATCCAATAAAAATAAAATAGGTTGGTGGACATTCACGAGTCGCACAATTAAGCCCACGAAAGTTTGCATACAAAGAGAGGAAAGAGAAACCTACTTCAACAATTTACAGAGGCGACGATCAAGCTTATTTCTCCACATCCACCATAACGCCCTATTCTCTTTTGTATCTTCTTCTTCTTCGATTGAAGATGACAAATAACTCTCCTCCAATATCATTCTAAATTCTGGAGCTACCCTATCAACCACAGTGGAACCCCATGGGCAGCACCAACGCTTTCCAACCTTTCCGTCAGAAACACTAACAGAACCAGAACTTGTATCATCGGAGGAATCTCCTGAGTAAATTTAACATAAACAAATTACTGCAAGTGTTAATCAGTGCAAGACATGCTACGAACTTCTGAATTCATGCCTACCTACATTAAAAAATTACCTTCTAATACTGAATCCACAGGTAGAAGCATAACAATAGGTTGACTCTTCAAGTTCAAGCGTGATACAAGAATCCATGCATGAACACAAGTATGAAAGGACAACAGCTCCTGTAGGAAACTAGCATAAGGGCTTCCGAGCAAACTTATACAGATAATTGTTGTGCAAGGAAGGCCGGCAAAAAACAGTGTTACAAATCCTTCAAGTTCTTGAATAGACTCAGGTGCAAGCCTGCATCAGATACGAACAAATCGTGTTAGAATGGTTCAATGACAGACACCACCAATTTTGTAACGTGACAAACACAACCTGAGTAAATTCTTTTTTTCTGATCCCAAACAAGTTGAGCCAGGAACATGTGAACCCTGAAAATAAGGATTTTTAACAACATTAACTTATTAGTATGTGTTAAATAAAGGAATTAAACATTGGGTTTGCTATGCAAATACAACAATCTGGAATGCTAATTAGCAGAACACAATATGAAGATTAGAGAGCCATAAAAGCAAATTCCAACATGCATTCACAGCAGTAGGGAGGTAATGTCCAAATGATGGTTCATTTCAGTACTAAACAAGATATCCAAGTGGTGACAAAACTTGTTCATAATTACCCAAGAACAGAACGATGAGCGTGCAACCAGAAAATATACCATTTGCATTTATCTTGGGAGCTAAGACATTCAAGTAATTGATGTAAGCCCCCAAGTTTAAAATCTCTCATATAGATTTATTAGTATGTATGTAGCTTGATTATTGCTTACATAGATAGACTAAATAAACAGAATCAAAGTGTGTAAACATACCTCAGTGTTTACAAGGTGCTGAACATTACATATCCCAGATATATTTGTGAAAAATTGGCAACTAAGATGAGTGCCAAGTGAAGCTTGATGGAAATAAGAAGCCCAATGGTTTTCGCGGAGAGTTTTAGAAGAAGATGACAAAGAAAAAAAGATCACTTGAGGTAGAAAGCACAAATATAGCGGCAAGCAATCTGGAAACCTGTTTAGCACCAAAAGTCAATCATCTTGAATAATGACAACATTATGGAAACCAAATAAAAGCAAAACGACAAAAAATATAGGAAGACACACTTGGATTTGTAATAGAAGAAACTCAAATCCATAACATCCAAATTAAATGCGGTTATTATTTAAGTTTTTCACAGATAAGGAACTAAACCCAAGAACTAAAACTCTAAACAAAATAAGTCAGCTACCATTACAACGCCGTGATCATCCACCTGTATTCAAATTTTAACAAAACAAAACAACACAAGTGAACTTAAATGATGTGGCAGTGACAATAAAAAACAATCTGAGCTCTTCTGTCATGTTTACAGAATCCAATAAATACAACTGAACTTACTCATAAAGCCATAGGAAATATTTTAAATGAAGGAAAGCATACCACAAGATCCTCTTAAATCTATATATTCTGTAACAAACACAGTATAGTATGAACCTAGGACAGATCAATCTTTCAAAGGCTCCATAGCATTCCTCTACAAACCGTCGACCATAGCATTCCTCTACAAACCGTCGACCAACTTTTTGGACTGCATGACTCAATGTAGTAATACAATCCCATCATAAAATGGACCTCCCTTTTAAAAAAACATGGAACGCAATGGATTGCAAGTTCAAAATAATTCCTGTAGAAATTATGGTTAACAGGATGTTCCAGATTACTTTTTAGGCATTTGAGTCACCATCCACCATTTGTAAATAGACTACATGCAGGACCAGAGGTTTGAATTCAAAGCCAAAAAAACTCAACTGGCCAAAATGCAAAGAAGCCACAGTTCAGGCTAAAGTTACTTAAAGCACTAAATGTTACAGAAGCAGCCAAGAAATTGTTTTCCTATTCAATACATAAACATCCCCAACTATGTTAGACTATGCAATCCAATTTGACAAGAGCTGACCCTGTAACATTAAAATAAAACCAGGGTTACTTTCCGCCAAGTACGACAATGTTGCAACATGCCTTTCAAAAGAAGCTAGCTTTACTTGAGCTTAAAAAAATGATTTATTTTTTCTTTTGGAAAAAAAGGAGTCACAAAACAAAAGAGATATAGTAGTTCATAAAGACAAAGGCACAGGATTTGCTCCTTACTATCATAGTGTGATGTATGCACTTAACATCAAAATAAAGTCCATTAACAACTCACAAACACATGGAGTATGATATATCAATGAAAACACTACAGCCAATGCAATGAAAGGACTATGAAAGAATATAAAGGTAGATTTGACCTTCTGGAAAAGTACAGGAACGTCGCGGCAGAGAACAAAAGCTAGCATCAACCAAGACACTAGTTTTGGTAGCTGAATATGAGGCAGATCAGAGCACATACTCCTGGTGAAAGAAAATCAAGAGAGAGTAAAACAGTTAGCACTATTACAAATCTGAACAATGCACTCATGTTAACATTTGCATCTGTCATTAGGTATTTGCCTTGGAATTGAAAATTCTTCTTAGGTCTTTACATTGGCATCCATTTGTTAGTTAAAGCCAATATTCAACTGTAAAGGCAAAAAAAAAATTCAAAGCTAGCTTTTAGGACAATTTTCCAGTGCTAAAGCATCATATAAGAAACAAACAATATGCTCAACATGATTGCTCTTTTGCTAAATTATCAATCGTTTACAGATATCACAGTAGCACAAAGTGAATTTAGACAAATGATACTAATTCTGGAAAACCTAAAATTCTTATTAGACGAACATATACACATGGCTTTGTTTCTAATAGCATTTGGGCCAGTTAAGAGAAGCAACCAAACAAGTTTTGTTCTTCAATTAGGCAAAATGAGGATGCCATCCTTAGCCACCCTGATTCTTTAAGTAAAATTTATATCAAAGCTACTGGGACACATTTTCAGCTGGCAACTCGGGATTTTCTATTACTTTTTTAGAAAAAGGGCTTTTGTGTTCCAAATATGCCTTTCTTCTACTAGTAAAACTGAAATGTGACTGTTTAGCTCCAAACTTAAAGCAACGGATTATCATTCCAAATTATTAACTCCTTTTAAATTTTTAGAGAGAGGGAGAGAAAAAAAAACTTGTGTGAAATTCTCTCTCACCGTCTCTGAAAAGGTTTTCTTGCAGGTCAAGGGCACTTCCAGCAGATTTATTTTCTCTGAAAGTGACACAATTTCAATTTTTAAACTTTTTCGACATTGTTTGCTGCAATTGCATGTACCCATAAGAGCATGGGTAAACTGTATAAATCCATTGCAGCTTATCCCAAAAAGAAAAATAAAATTGAAGGCATTACTCATCTCTTTTATACTAAGAAGGAAGTGGCCGGTGATACTCCTGATTCTAAATTAAGGCATTTTTATGCAATAAGCATGCATAGACATACATAAGAACTTACTATTAAGATTACCTGGTTTCCTTAGAACAGTAACTCTTCAAAGACGACCAACTTATGTTCAACAGTACTTCTGCCCGTTCAACACAGAACACATCCCCGGGGATCTCCTTTCCCATTAAATCAAGCAAGGAAGTCAATGGAACAGTTGAGGTAATAGGACAAAATGGGTTTCGGCTGACCAAGACTGATACAGTTTGCACTATAATTTCATGTGTCTCATGAGTTTGACCACGACTGTCCAAGCATTTTCCTGAAAAATGCTAAATTTAATCAATAAATATTTTACGGCAACAAAAAAGTTTTAAAGCAAAACACATAACAAAGTTCCATGTCCATTGGATCTCATGCTTTAGCCATAACTTGCAAAAACAAAATGCAAGAACACAACTATGTATGGAAATCATGACACGTTTGGCAATTCAAAAGCAAAAAACTATAGTGCTAAGAAAATTGTTAATAATACTAATGATAGCATTAAATATGATAGGACAATTTTATGCAGATGAATCCACTCTTAAAAGTCTCTGAACGCACTCTTAAAAGTCTCTGAACGCACTCTTAAAACGCACACAATAAGCATTGTCCATCCTTTTTCCAATAAGCATGACCACCACCATCAACACCTCGGCCCACACTACTCGTGCTGGCACCATGCTCAGCCTCATCAGCGCTGGCCTTACCGAAGGGCAACACACATGAGCTGGCAGTGGTGAAATGAGGCAAGAGCCATGACTTGAATCTCTATCAAATTTTTAAATAATTTTCCTTTCGGGTAAAATAGTAACAAAATTTTCATTAAAAGATGGGTGAAATGAGAAATTATTACAGTGCAAACAGAAGTTCATTCAATAGACAATGCATCAACTTTATGAACATGCATGCAGATATAGAAAGTAAGAGATTATAACGTAGAGCTGCCCCCTACCTAATCCTGTGAGAAGCCTGAGCAATAAACGCCGGCGGACAAACTCCCATTTTAAATGTACTAAGTCTTTCACTAACCCAGATTTCATAACTTCCACAGGAAGACACTGCCAACACCTCATTTTGGTTGCAAATGCAAGTTACATTGCACCCAAAAGCAACCTCACAGCTTTTTAAATCCAATAGAAATTCCCTCTTGCTAAAAGTATCAGGGCTATCGCACTCACTTTTTCCTTGCAGAAGTTTTGAAGGACCAAGTTGGACGATGCCATTTCCACTTATGCTTTGGTTCTGAGAAGATTGATATCTAGACCGAGTTACCCTCAAATTGTGCTCAGGTACTGAAACCTGATTCTTCACGACCAGTTTTGGTGCATTTTTTGGTCTTTTTTACATTTTTTAGCATCCATCTTGCTTTTCAGGCCCTCCTTAGTGGTTTTTTCTATTATCATGCTGTTTTTCTTCAGAAACAGTATATATACTGCTAGCACAATATCCAACGTCTTTAAGACTAGCTTTTCCAGGCATTGTCCATTCGACACACTCTTCTTCTGGACAACTAACAGAATTTTTCCACTCAGAAAGATTTAGTATGGCAATGGCTGATTTGTACAGGTTTTCAGCATGCGACAACTTATCTGACGATGTACTTCTTGTATTTTCAAAAATGCTTTGATATAAATCGCCAAGATTCTGATTAACAGTTGCTTCCAGCAACAATCTGCATTTCATGCAAGAGAGATCTGTGCTGCAAGCCCCAAAATATTGCTTGGCACTTTGCAGTTCCTTTTCCGCCAAATCCCAAAGTTGCTGCTTGTGGTAAAGCTTTCCTAAAGACATTCACAATTTAACAGTGAATTAGCAAGTTATTACAATCCGCTTCTTTTGAAACCAGGGGCGAATGAAGAAATAATTGTGAGACAACAACGGACAAGAAATAAGAGAGTTGTTGTTATACCCAAGACAGTAGAAAAAACAATTGTAAATAGTGGCAAGCTCTGTGAGCAGGAAAAAGCTTTTCCAAATTGTAAAAAACCTTCGGCCTCAGCTCCTTTACCAATTATTTCGAGGATAACCCCTACCTGCAGGTTATATGGGAGATCCAAATTCAAATCCAATCTTAGTAAAAGATAGGTCCAGACTTGAACTTTGACAAGATTGACAGAAAGAGGAAGAAAAACCTGAAGAGTGCTCTCAAGATAACATTGAAGTGCATTCCATGGACTCAGATAATAGCTTTCCAGGTCACATGAACTAGTATCAAAAAGCCAAACTTCACTAGCAACTGATCTTTGCATATGCATATCATGAATGCTATATGTTAACTCCTGACAGATACCCCCTTCATTGTACTTTTTGGGCTGTCGCTCAGAAGAGAACATAAATTTCCCTCCAAATAGTTTAGCACGTAAGTTGTGAGCTTCTTTTGCATATGAGAGAGCCTACAGAGTATTAAGAAATATGAATACAAAATCATCATGCAGGAATCCCCTTGTTTAAACCAAGAAAGCATCTCAATATCTAGTAATTAACAGTGCAAAATACTTTGTTAGCATTTAATAAACCAAAATAAATCAAGTTAAATAAACCAATGCAGACTACCTCAATTAACCGTCCATTTGAAACAAGTCTTTCCGATAAATCATAGTAGAGATATCCAGCTATGTAAGCAGACCAAGTCGATACAGGAGCCTATAAGAAGAGTACCAAAATGTATTTATTTTGTGTCATTAAGGCATAAGAGTTCATGATGGCAACTTGAGAGAAACTGACCTGTGATATAAGTTCAAAAGCAGCTTCCTTAACTTCATCAATTGTGATATCTGATCGAAACAAATTTTGATGATTCCATGGGCCCCGAGAAAAAGTTTGGAAACAGAAATGAGAAACTATGTTGGAACACTAATAGTAATGGTGTGGAATCTTTTAGAGAATCTATCCAAAAAGCATACTTTGAAAGTTCACCACAATGATCTGATAAGTTCATAATGAATGTCTCATTTACAGGTGAGGCACAAAGGGCATGGCTAATCCTCCTACATTCCCAAAATCTGGCCACGCACTTCTCTAATGGGACATTCCTCCATTTAAATAATCTAATCATAAGCTTATGTATATCATTGTGAAAGTCCATGCAACCCTGAAGATCATGAAGAAACAAAAGCATTGTCATTGTTAAGAATAAAATCATGTCCTAAAGAAATAATATTTTCAGGTGGATCCTACGGCACCAACAACATCAAAGGACAAACCTTGGCGGATAACAAATCAATGACATTGTAAAGTAGCAACATAGTATTTTCAGACAACATGGAGCACTTGTCAGCCGGAGAGCAATTAGCAGGAGTAGAAATGCCCAACCATAGATTAATGGCAGCACTGATATCTTCAAGCACTCGCTGCTCATGAGTCATAACAAACACAAATCAAATAGCTGGAAATGTTGTAAATTCAATGACACTTAAGCATATATAAACAGCATATAAAGCTTTTTAGCAGTAATTACTCAATCTTAGGAAATAACTTTCGTGATTTCACACCTTTGAGTTGGGTTCAGCTTCCTGGGTAGAAAGTGCACGTAAGCAATATGCCACAGCTAATTGATGGCAAGGAGAAATTTCATGGGTACAGGTTTCATCATAAATCTCACTCTGATACAGTAGCTTATTCATATCAGCCAGAAACCCAAAAATCAAAGGGTTACCCGCTAAAGGCAAGTCATTAAGATTCGGAAAAACAACAAAAAATAAACTAAAATCTAAATTGACTTACAAGTAAACATATTGCATCTGATAAACACTGAATACAGTCCTTCAGACCTTTGCTTCCAGAAAGCCTTAATGCCCTTCCCTTTTTCAACAAAATTCTTGATTTTTGTAACCAACTATTTGGTGTGACATACACATCTTTCAGCAGGAAATCTATAATTTTCATTTGCATTTTCTGACAAAACTTAGGGTTCACAGCAGTCATTCCCTCATAAGCAAGAAGTTCCTGATATTTCAAGATAGAAATGTAGACGTGAGAAAAGTTAGTACAAGTGCGACCTAAAGTCTAGGGAAATATATTTAATGAACTCCAACTGAAAAGAAATACAAAATGTTCTAACCTGTTCCAAAACGATTTCGTTTATCTTCTTTGGGACTTTCTTATAAGACAATAACAAACTGTATAAGGTTGGAGCATCATCTTCAACATTCACATCCTTGTAACGTTTACATTCCATCTAGATATGGCATAATAAAAGTAAGATACCAGATACAGCATATTAAGTGAACACAATACATAATTATAAGATGATTAGAATGAGATTTTGTGTTGACATTTGATGATTAGACGATGTTAAGAAAACACAATACGAAAAGTAAAGGAAATTCCAGATGATACCTTAACCCACTGCTTCACCACAGCCAGAGGACCTGGCAGCCTCCCAAACAAGTTTGCAGCAATGGACCAATTTTCAAGGCTCTCTAATAAAGTTCTTTTCGCATCATAACTCTGCAATTCATTAAGAACGTCCAAAAGAAAAGCACTTCTCGTACAGCACTCATTATAGAAATCTAAAATGGCATCTTTCTGACAGATCAACCTCGGACGCCCTTTGTTTGTGTACAAACATCTCACAAAGATGTATAACACGAGTCCATGATGCCTTACAACATAAGTTCAATGCCTGTGATGCCTGCAAAGGTACTTTACAAAGTCAAGCAAAAGAAAGGCCTCAACAAGGAATTCTAAAGTACAAAAATGCTTTTGGTATAAAGTGGTTTTATCTTTTCATAGGAAACTAGATTTCATTAAAAGAATAGAGAAATTATAGTAGACGACATATACACTAAGCTTAAATAATTAAAAACCTGCCTCCACCAATAAACGATCCACATACAACTACAAAATCCAACAGCAATTCACAGAACAATCAAACAGCTACATCCCTATCCAATAAGATTGAAAAAGAGTATCTATCCTGTACAAAGTGACAACATGAACAAAAAGAAACATTAAAAAACAACAGAAAATTTCCTTGAATTTGGTTAAATTAGGACAGGAGTGAAACATATTTAAACAGAGCAGGAGCCTGGATTGTCTATAAGGGTCATGGCTAACTTCTAAAGATAAAAGGTTCAGTTAATAAGAAATAAAGCAGTGCCTTGTCTGGAACTCTATCCAGTTCAAATGAAAGTACAGATGCACATATTCATCTAGAAGCTTAAAATATAGCACAAAGCGATCCTATTCTTAAGGTCTACCGCATCTTGTATGGGTATTAAATCCATCTAGCATCGAACTTTCAAAAAGGGTAATAGAGAAAAATTGCTCACTTTTCGTTATTACCTTATCAACTGCTTTTGAGTTATACCAAAGTGGCTACACTATATCATCCCCTTTAAGAACCACTCATTTTTTAAGTTATTCAGTCTGACTGTATAACATGCCAAACCGTCTGACAAGATATCGTTTTCCCTTTTTCAGCCACAATGTGTGTTATGTACCCACACACACAAATATATACATGCCATTGTTTTATTTGAGGGGCTTTTCATCCTTGCAAAAAATGAACTTTGGTTGGAGAACTAAAGATAAACGTTTTGGATCTATCAAACTACAATGAGGAGTGGGGACAACAAAGCTTCCCTCAAATGGTCTTATTTGAGGGATATACATACGTGAAACACATTGAACAGGGAGCAGTTTAATACATTGACAACAGAGCAAACATCTTTAGATACTTGAGGTAAAACATTTGCATGACAATACAGCTATGGTGCTACCCAAATTGAGCAGTGTAATATATGTATCTAACTCTAAAGGATTATCATGGCTCTTTACACATATAAACAAATACAGAGGTGCCCCTCAAATATTCGATAGTATTTAAATATTAAGCCCATAGTTCCAGCATTTCTGCATATAGACAACATAAATAAATGTGTCAATTTCCAGACATATTCTTTTTCTTGATACATGGTGTTTTTGGATAAAGAAATTGAGAGAAAAAAAATACAGAGAACTTCTTTCATTTGAACACTAAAATTTGGAGCGGAATGGAGACAAAAGATGAGAGGTTTGCAAAGAAAATGAAATTTGTGTTGTGCTTGATTTTTGAAAAAAAATCCTGAATTAAACATTTCTTTCTGTCTTTCTTCTGCCTATCCAAACAAGAATAAGAGAAAGGAAATACCCCCTCTTCCCTCTCGAATCTACTACCTATAAATTTTAATAACTAAACACAATGTAAACAAAAAAAATACCAAATCTATCTAATATGGACCTCAAACCAAGCCTTGGGAATCATCTTTGGAACTTAAAACAAAATAGTTCTGATGAAATGTAGAGCAAACTAAATTACTAAAAGCTAATTGTATAAAATGGTTATTAAGAGAAAAAGAAACTTCAAACAAGATATGGTTCAATGTTTAGAATGGATGCATGGCAAGAATTTATTCAAACCATAAAAGCACTTACAGAGCCAAGTACAATAAAGATAACAACATTACTTCAGACTGAAAATGATGCTTCTCATACTACACCATAAGCCATCCAGTCATAAATATTCATTCTGTAAAAGAATACCTCTTTTAGCTCCTTGTTCCTGTACAAATGTACCCCGGTATTGTACAGAGAGACATATAGATGCTTTAGACCATGAGGTTGAATCCAAGCACTGGTGATGACATTTTCAAGTATTTGTACACTCTTCTGAAATAAGAAAAAGGCAAGCCAATTACCTAGTTTGCACTGATGACCCAAAATTATTAAAAAAAATTTGCATTTATTATATTTATTAACGACGAAAAACAATGAAAAAACTTATTTTTTTAAACACATATCGAATTAATAGTAATGAAAATAAAGATTGTGCTGTACAAGAGTCATAAGAAATAAACATTTCACTAATGAGAAAACAAATAACTGGGACCATTTCAGCATTATATCATAAGAATGACAACCTGAATGTTCAGCTTTGTTATGATGGAGAGGGTAAAAGCAGCCAGAGCAACATCAAGGGTGCTGTTTCCATCAAATCCATCTCTATCCACCTCATATGTACATCTGTACCTGGGCACAAGCATATGTCAGATAAATCTTGCAACATCAACTGACTATAATCTTGTAAGACGGTAGTTAGGGAAAAGACTGAAGAAATTGTGGATCAATAAGACCAAGCAACTTCAGTCACGTGTTCATAGAACTCAAAGAAACGAAACACTGAACCTTATCCTTGACTCACATTTTAAGAGAAAGAAAAACGTCACAAAACTGATGGAATGCACCCTGGATATGGCACACTTCAGTAGAAACAGAAGCAGCTTCATTATTAGTAATAATCTGTTTCCTTCCTGAATTTACAAACTCTGTAAGCGGCTGGCATAAGAATTTCAATGCATTAAAATAACACAGAAGATAGTTCTTTCTATCCTTCTGCATTTGATTCAATGAGTCCCCACTGTCCGAACTCAATTGCGAATTGGATAACAAAGAGTCGTCATTGCAGCCAATTTGGAAATAACTTCTCAATGAACCAAGCAAACCGGACAAGCGATTCCCTGTGTCCCCATCATCAAGCAAAACTCTAATTGCACCTTCAAAGGATTGAAAATGACCAACTTTTGACTTCATACTACGATCAACAAAGTGCAATCCAGTGGCATAAACCCTCAGAATTAACTGAAAAGGTGTTCCAGCCTGCACAAAAAGGTAGTATTTTAATTACAAAATACAAATGCAAACACTGCCAATGAGTGCCAGTTTAGTGAAATTTATATGAGCAAACTACATAAATAAGATACCTGATGGAAATCACCTGCTAACTTATTTAAATGAGATCCAATAATACCGCAAAGGTTTGTGTTTGTAGTTTGACATTTTTTGGCACAATAAGCAATAAGTTCAACAAACTCTTTTCCTGAATTTTCCACTTCAGCCTGCCAAAGTTTACAGAAATGTAATCACTCTGACTAATTCAAGTTATAAATCCGTAAGCAATTATCTCCAAACAGTTCATATGCAGATAGCACCACCTCCAAAAGTAAAGAAATTGTATATAAGGTTCAAGGCAACACTTGTTTATGAGGTACAATTCAAATAAATAAAAAGTTGCCATCAAGATGTAACTCGGTAAAAAGGGAAAGTACTAAAAGTCTACGCATATGAATTGGTAATCAACTGTATGTTGCAGCATAATTCTCATAAGGAAGACAATAAAAAGTACTTAGTCCAAAAAAAATTGATGAAAATGTATAATAAACAAGTGGAAAATCTAACTTAAGTTCTCCTCCACTCAAGAACTTTAGTTAGAGACCCTGTCATATAATTTCTTCACCAAAATTAAGGTCCAAAGAGAGCATGTTGTGTTCATATATTAAGGGATAGTAACAAATTAAAACATACATTGCATGAGACTTTTAGTATACTAAAAATATGAAATAATTCAGATTAAATACCACAGAGACTAGTCCAAGGTTTTACAAGGGTGGTGCTATCCAACACCCCTTTTTACCTTTCCCACACTCCTCTCAATTTCAGGCCGTCAAATTGAATGAATTGGAGAGGATCAAAGGACAGAAATTAACAGAGGGTGTGTGGAAAGTAAAAAATGGTGCATGGATGGCACCACCCTTTTACAAAGGACCTATATGCTACTAATTAGAATGATTTTTTAATTAGGATATTCTCATGTACGTTCACTTCTACCGAAAATTTGATACTTGTTTATTTTAAGGAAAACTAATGAAAAGGGCTTGAAAACTTTGAGTTTTAACGATAAGGACAAAATAAAGGGTAAAATGAATAGTATCAAGATTGACTTTTTAGTGTAAAAATGTGATTTTTTGTTAAAGTGATCAGTACCGAGAGCTTTTCGTTAAAGTTCCCTTTATTTTATGATCAAATAACAATTTTTTTAATAAATATTAACTAAACTGTTACATTATTTGCAGAAACAACAATTAATATAAAAGTCAATTCAGTTAGACATATAATATTCTTTTCTCTATTTTTTTGTCAAAGAGTCAAATAATATTTGTGGTCTTCAATAATCACTGTGATATTTTTCCCTTTTCATTTCCCTCAGATGAAAGTGAAGCGGAAAACCTGCCCTAAATTAATTCTCTAACTATACCATTGTAAGACGATTGTTGACCCAAAAGAATAATACAATTAAGAAAACAATTATGATGTGTCTTAAAAAAAACAAAGGCAATCAAATCGGAGGTCTAAATCATACCAAGTAGATACAACGAAAAAAAAATGTAACAAATAAAAAATCTGCATGATCTGATGTCTAATTCCCAAGCCATCATACATTTTCAAAAGGGCCAAAGTACTTTGAACCCAGAAGATATGGAAACCTTTCTTTAGCTTAGTTATTATATGGTATCCCAAGGTTCAAGAATACAAATAAAAGCATGTGATCATATTTCTGCCATTTAGTTGAAATATAGGTCAAAATGTCTAATACAAACTGGCTCAGCCTTCAAGCGAATATCTGGAAACTAAACATTGACATGGGCACTGACGATTTATGAGCATAGACATCTTGGTCAAATCACATTCCTCAATCCTAAAATACACATTTAAAACCATCTGCATTACCTTACATTCGTGGACAAGGGAGTCCAACAAGCAAAATAAGATGCGAGTGAGTGTGAATGTATCCTCTTGAAACAAGAATAAAGATGAACATATCGTACGGGCAAACTGTATGAACAAAAGAAAAGGACTGATTAGATACGTGCATCAAATTTTTTATACAATCCTTACTATAGAATCAAACATAGGCTACCTTGACCATTGTGTCTTTCATTGGCGACTTAGCATACTCAGTCATGGTTAAAATGCAGAACTTTTGCACAAGATCCCCATTGAACACCGATAGCTCCCCAACTAAAAATTGAGTACACCTACTCAGATAGGCAACCAGATTCCTGTGCAACTTCTCACATGTGCTTGCATCTAATACCCTAAGACATTTCATATCAGGTACACCAATCAGTAAACTACTGATCATTGCTGTAAAATCACAAATAATGTTAAGTGCTCAAAATGCCAGTGAAACTGTGCCTGCTTCAGATAAGTTCAGGGTTCTGCTTTTCAAGTTGAAACATTTGATCCAAAATACTAACAGCAATATTCTACGGAAAGCGAAAATCGGATGATTCACTTACCGGAACCACGGCATGACCTCCTCAGCCAAACAAAGCACCCGCTCAAACACCTCACTGTCCTTACTCTGACTCATGGCCGCACATTTCACAAGCGTCACCACAATTTCACCCACCAAAGACCCAAAATCTTTATCTCCGCCCCCCTTCTCCACATCCGGCACAAATCTCCGACACGATTTCACCGATTTCTTCGACCCACATTCAATCGCCTTAAGGCTCTCCAAAACCCTAAACCCCTCACTTTCCGCATCCTTGTACCGCCCACATGCCACAAGGCAACTCACCATCCTCACCCTCGGGTAGTGAAACGAGTGCGGCGAAGCGGACAACACAGAGGACACGGCGGCCAGGCAGTCGAGGCAGAGCCGGTAAATATCGAAGAGTTCGAGGGCAAATTTGTCATCTAACTTTGAGGGGTCGGCGAGGCGTTTGGGGAGAAGGGATAGCGTGCGGTTGAGGAAGGGGAGGAATTTCTTGGCGAGCGAGCGGAGGAGGGTTTGGTGGTCTTGGGATTTGGTTGATTTTTTGGTTTTTTTGGGGTTCTGGAGTTCGGTGAACGGCTGAAGATAGGCGGCGACGAGGGGATGAAGGCCGGCGGTGTTGGCGGCTTCAAGTTTTGAAATGATGGCGGTCTCCTCCATGGCCGGTGGAGAAAGAGAGAGTGAAATGTCTGGTTTTTTCTTTCCTAGGGGCCTAGGGCGCGCCAAGACATCCCCTTTCGAGCTCATTTAAAAATATAAAAAAATTGAGGTGTAATTCACTTTATTTTTTAAAATATTAGAAAAATTGAGCTGTAATTCCTAATTTACTTTTTCAAGTTTCGCCAAAATCGTTTTACATGTATTTATTTATTTATAAGTTTTATATATGAACTTAAATTTTTTTGTCACTTTTATACTTGCGTTAATCTAGTCTTCTGTTAACTGATAATGTGGTAATATCTTGGCCCATTAATTCTCAAGTATCGTAAAATTCGCAATTTTCTACCTTTAGTTATTTTCATCTCATTTTCATACATAAAATTACATTTTGATTCCAAATCCATATTTCCATTAATCGACATCAGAAGCTCCGTTAAACCGTGACATTTCAATTGGCTGGACAATGTAGAAACATAGTACTGTAGGCCCTGCAATGCGTACAAGATGGTTCAAGTTGATTTTGAAATAAGTTCCCGCCAAATTAAAAATTTTCAAAAACACAAAAAAGTTTGACTTTTTTATTTTTTTTATTGTTACTTTGCAAAAAAATAAAAAATCCGCATGGAGCCATAATGTCATGTTTTTTGACAGTCATCGTGACATCTAAGAGCAGCTCCACCTCATTGGGGTAGGTCGGCTCAAAGCCTAAAAAATAGGTCAGCCTGCACAAAAAATGGTCCAACCAAGCCTATAGGTTGGCACCCAACCCAAGCCAATCCATAGCTTGGCCCAAAACGGTGCAGAGCAATGTGTGTGGACTATGTGAGATCACGCTGGCGTCAGCATGACATCACACCCCCATTACATTTTTTTTGCATCAGACTTGCGCGCGTTCTAGACCAAAAAAACGGTAGGGCTCGCCATTGCAACGCACTAATTGTACTGGGTGAGTGGCCATGTGGCTCATTATAAGCTATTGAATTTTCAATTTCTAGTTTTCTGGACTGCTGGATTTCCAACGGTAAAAAAATTTTGAATTTCAAATCCAATAGCTAATGACGTGATACGTTATGGGCCTTCCGATTCGAGATCAACAATCCACGATTATCGCCCAAAAATGAAAAAAAAAAACACAATGGTTAGAATTATGACCATTTGCCACGTGTCCACGTCTGGGCTGTTGGATTTGAATCTTTTTCAAATCCAACGGTCCAGATTAATTAACTTAATAAAAAATAATAAAAAATTGTTTAAAAATACAGAAAAATTTAAAAAAAATTATTATTTTTTTTATTTTTATAAATACCTAATCATCATCTTCCACCTTACACCACATTTCATTATTTTCAACACTTCAACCAAAACTTTCATATACTTTTTTGTGGAAAAATGGCTACGTGGAAAATCTTATCGGAAATCTATCCACAAAATAGTACTTTCGGATGATGACATGTAGTGTGACAATATTGTTTAAAAATCATATCCGAAATTAAAACAAATTTTTTTTATTTTATAAAAAAATTAATAATATTTTAAATAGGCTAGGTGCCAACGCATTTTGTAAAGATGAAGATACATTTGTGCCAACATATTTTTTAGAAATAGAGATGCATATAACCAATTAGTGTTCATTAGGGTCAATCACTGTTCATTGAGTAGAGCATGGGACACAATTTCTAAAGGCCCAAAGAATAGATTATTAAAGTTTATGACCCATCCAAACCGGGCCTAACCGACCCGCCATCAACTGGCAAGTTAAAACCCTAGAAACAAAGAACGATAAAACCCCTTTGCCGCTCGTCGGGGTTTCTGCAGTCGCTGGGAGCAAAAAGCAGAGAGCTAACCAGAAGCCGCCCACTTCCTATCCTTCACTATGCCTAAGTCTAAGCGCGATCGACAAGGTCCGCCGTCCACTCCTTTCTGTTTGGTTGCTGAGAAAACTTGCGGAAAACCAAGAAATTCCAATCCTTTTATTCGTTTTAATATTAACGCATATATATAAATATATTTATGTTTCGAACTGTCAGCTGAAATCTCTGTAAATTAGGTTGTTTATCATGAATTAAGAGATTGTTTTCTTTTGTGTTACATATAATTGGTTTTGGGTTTGAATTGTTGAATTCTTTTTCTATTTTTTTTTAAATATTATGTTTGTGTGGTTTAAATTGGAAGCTAAAATTAATTGGTTTGAATTTTGTTTCATAATATTTTCCTTTGTTAAGAGTTTTTAGTTTGATGATAACAAAAATTTAACATGTAGAAAATGAAAATTTTGATAGTTATTGAAATTGGGATGTGCTATTCACACACCTATTTTTACTTCTCACACACCCTTTATTAATTTCTGTCATTTGATCTTCTTTAATTCAGTCGATCTGACGGCCACAAATTAAGAGGGAGTGTATGAAGTAAAAAGGGGAGTGTGGATATCACACCCCATTGAAATTTTGCATATGATGAAAGTTTTAATTTTTTTTTAAAAGTAAATCTCGCAAACATTGGGCGATTGGTCTTATGGATTGGAGAATGGTATGAATAATATTATGGTACGGTTCGTGATTGATTTGAGTTTATGGTTGCAGTTACATTGTCCAAGACAAAGAAGAAGGGAAGGGAACATAAAGAAACAATAGTAAATACGATACGGCAGGCAGCGGAAGATTACAATTCTGCTTATGTCTTCTCTTTTGAGAACATGCGGAATCATAAATTCAAGGAGTTCAGAGATCAGCTCAAATCAAACAGCAGGCAAGTTCATTTTCAAGATGCTCCATTGGTTTTAGTGGTAACCGGTAACTCATTATGTATGCCGTGAAATTTAGAGAAAACAAACTCGCACGCTGATGTTTAGTACCCAAAAACAAACAAAAAAAAACTCCAGTTGACAGTGCAGTTTTAGGCTCATAATTGGTTGACTACGCAGAATACTTTCAATCAATGTTTCAACTCTTTTTAATTTGATTGCATCCTAAACATGTAGAGTATCGGTCATCTATAGTTTGTTTTGCAATATAAGCTAAAAAGAGGAGAGACTTTGCAGATAAAAATGGAGAAGATAAATTCAACTTTTTTTGTGCTTTGATTGGTTGTCCTAGGAAGAAATTAATTGTATTTTTTTCATTGGTGGGGTGCTCTGTAATCTTAAACGATCCAAGACTTCAAATTCTTTTTCCCATCTCTCAACTTTCAAAGAAAATTAAAATGTGGGCCCCCCAAGAAAAATCTGATGCTTCTTATGGCTTTGGGGATGGAAACTTTTTGAAGGCGTGAGAAGGCATCTTTTACAAAACCCAGGCAGCCTTTTCAAAATCAAACTTTAAAGCCTTAAAATGATTTAAGATCACTTTCCTGTGGAGAACCAACCACAATTGAAAGCGAGTTGTTGGCCGAGAATTGATCTTTGAACTAGAAAAAGTTAGCTTTGAGAGAATAAATCCTGTATTGGAGTAAACTAACTGTGCTCATAATATGGTTATTTCAACTTGTACATGTAAGTATGTAACTGTTTTGTGGAAAGATAAGTTTCTTAGTCATGGATTCCACAATTTGGGCAAGTGTATCATGAGGGATTTCATTGTTGTTCTCAGGTTTTTCCTTGGCTCAAACAAAGTCATGCAAATTGCCTTAGGTCGGTCTGAATCTGATGAGATTAGACCAGGCCTCCACAAAGTTTCTAAGGTACTCCTTTATTGCACCCAAGATTTCTACTGTCTATTTTTAAGTTGAAATTATTGTCTTATACCTTTTGTTTATTTTTCTTAGGTTCTGCATGGAGATGCTGGTCTATGTTTTACCAATTTGCCCAAGGAAGAGGTTGAAAGGTAAAAGCACACATTTACTCATGTTTACAAGCTTGGGAAATGTATGGAGTTTTGGATTATCTACTTATATAGGTGATGGGCTATATGAAGCTTTATAACTCAGTTCTTAGAACTTCACAATATTGTACCTTATTGACATATAAGGGAGTCTATGATGGTCAATTATATGAGATCCATGCCTGCAGTGATTTTACTGAATGTGGATTGCAAAACACATACGTCTTTATCTACATTATTAATACTCTATTAACGCACCTTACCCCTGGAAAAATAGTTGAAATAAAAACAATATGGTACAGTTTGAAGGAAGAAACTAAAGTTTGCTAATAGTGTGATGTTCAACAATATAAATACTCTACTAACGCATCTTATCCCTGGTTAATTGAATGTTTCTGGTGAAGAGCTTTGGTGCTAACATTATTTTGCCACAATGTTCTGATCTTGTAGTTGTAGGGTACCTTGAGAGTTTTATCCAAATATGTGCTCATTTTCTTTTTAAGTTTCAAAATTTGAAAATATCCTTTCGTCCAAGTACCTTATACTTGTTTTATTTTTAATATGTTTTCAAATGCTCTCTTTTTTGGCAGGTTATTCAATGAATATGAGGAGCATGACTTCGCAAGGACAGGAAGCGTTTCGACGGAAAAGGTTCTTGAGATTTTTTGTGTGTGTAGTTAGTGTTACATTGTGAGGTTATAGTTGAAACACTAGACTTATCTTCTGGGGTTATATTCTTTGGTTTAGCTGTTAGCTTTCAACTATTCCTACCATTAACTCATGAATCTTATTTCAAATGTATTAGGTGGAGCTTATGGAGGGTCCTTTGGAGCAATTCAGTCATGAGATGGAACCCTTTCTTAGAAAACAAGGGATGCCTGTCCGATTAAACAAAGGTACCTATTTGCTTTCTTGGTTTGCCAGTCTCTGCACATGTAACAGAAGACAATGTAAACCATTTTGAGTCTACTCATACTTGCAGGTGTTATAGAGCTTGTTTCAGACTTCCTTGTCTGTGATGAAGGAAAGCCTTTGTCACCTGAGTCAGCTCGGATACTGGTTCGTTTCATGCTCGTATTTTTACTTAGTTTGTATTTCAAGTACATGGAATATCATTGTGTGTGTGTGTGGTCCATTTCCAGTCCCAACGAGTTTTTATGCATGACGGTTGCCCTCAATTTCTCCTATTATGAAATTTGTTGAAACAAATTAGTAATGATAATAGTACGTGTGTGACCTAATTTACGTATTTTGTACGCAGCGTTTGTTGGGAACCAAGATGGCTAGTTTCCGACTTCACTTGATATGCAGATGGAGCCCTGGTGATTTTGAACAATATGCTCCAGGACCAGATGATTCAGGTATCGAATCCTCGTAAACGCTAATACGAGATCCATTGGCATTTGAATACAACACGACGGGTTGTGGGGAATTATGATGTCTGTACTATTAAGAAATACAATGGCACTTGCAGGCCCTCGGCCGTTTTTGAGTTCGCTTTGGTTTTTGGTCGTTGTCTGTAACCTCTGCACTATTAGCTTTTAATCCATATGTTTTGACCTGCTGCTGTATGCTTTAGTTTTTCTGTAGACCATTTAGCATTTATAAGAAATATTGCTATTTCTGCAAAATCCCAAATTACAAGTACTCATTAGAGTCTTATTAGTGGGCACAGATTTCCTAGTTCTTATGAGTTTCACGGTTTTGATATTCACACACCCCTTTCTATTTCCCACAAACCCCTCTTAGTTTACGGCCATCAAATCGAATGAATTGAAGATCAAATGACATAAATTAACAAGGTGTGGGAAGTAAAAATGGATGTGTGAACCATCCTATTTTGTTCTTGTGTTAGTAGATCAATCAAATGCGTTTTTTATTACTTGGTTTAGATCATTAAATGTTAAGAGTATTTGACGTCCTAGATTCGCAGGACCAAATAAAAGCAATAATCTAGGTCATTCAATGCTCACAACATTTGATGCTACGTAGCATAGAAGAATTAGTTTACTTGAGTGCCTAAAAAGGCTGTATGGGACTAGTGTGTATTAAACAGAAGAATCCTGCCGTAAAGGTTGTCTATTGAGCCAGCCCAATCGTCTGTGACTAATTAAGCATTTTGGGGTTGATCCTAGCTACCATATACAAAAAGTCTCCCAAGAAATAACTTGCCAAAATGGACTCGTGACAACTTGCACATCTTACACAAACAGTCCACAAACAAGCCACAAAATTCAAATTCACACGACCGCTGGACCGCTCAAGTTGCTTTGAGACAACTGATTGAGCATCTCCAACGGAGAGATGCAAATCTGAGATGTAAAAACACATTCGCATCTCCGGGAGATGCGAATGTGGAACCATGAATGAAGAGACAAACAAAAGAGCACGACGGAGATGAATAGACATGGCATGTACGGTCACCTATGAGGGGTGGATCAGGTACTATATTGTACCCGTACGGTACGATCATATAAAGCACATAAGATTAAGCTAAATAGAACAAAGTATGAAGAGATGAACCTCTTTCTAAAATCAGCATTCATGCCTTCATGAGAAAAAGCATAAATGAGAAACGAAACACGGTTTCTTGATTCTGACACAAACCCTTGTTTACAATGCAGCCGACTCCGCCTTCTTTTTATCCTCCAAAAGCTTTAGCTCCTTACGCCAACCTTCCAGTTTCGTCAACTTGTCCAACTGTTCTGACTTAACATCTTGCTGATTAGTTTTCTGCTGTTGAGCTTCTGCAAGTCGAATCTGCAAAGGTGAACCATAACGTAAGAGAAAACGCACTGCATGGTTTTTCAAATCATGTCACATTTTTTGCGGATCCTGACGTTTCTGCACCAAATTGTAGACTTACACCGGAGGGAAAACTGAATAATCACCTTACATAAAACTGACTATAGCATCTGCTTCTTTTCTTTCAAGTATTTAATAAATAAATCAAAGTTCCATTTTTGTTTTAGAAAAAAAAAACTTTGGATGTAAGGCGTACCCCAAAGTTCTCAATCAAAACCAATATGTATAAGTTTTAACTGAATTTGACATCAAAAGGAGAAAATTATCTTGACAAACCCATGACACGCAAAAAGGATAGGGCTACGTATTCCTAACCTGCCGAACAATTTCCATAGTCATAGTGGAGCAAGGAAAACAGATGGTCTTATATCATTTAAAGACAAGGCTAAAAGGGTTAATAAACTATACCTTCTTTTTAAGAGCTCGAATTCTTTTATCTATATCTTGAGCTGGACCTGCTGGACATGAATTCTCAGTTGAGTCAGAGGGAGGGGTAACTAAAGGACTAGAAGAAACACCTAGCTCGTTCATCTGAGATGCCAATGACTCAACAGCTTCTGATACATGACCCAAATTTTCAACTTCTTCTTCCTTTGTTTCCCCACTTTCCGAGGTTTTCTCCTTCTCAAGAGCAGCCTGCAGATCACAGAATAACAGAGGAAATCAAGCAGCTTGAAAACCGCAATATCAAATTACAGATTAACACCGATTCCCAAAAACTGTAATTTTACACAACAGTAATTGCATGAGTTCAGAAGATTAAAAGCATTTCTATTTGAAAACCATCTCTTGCTAAACTTAAAAGCAAAGCTATAAGTTTAAAATCACGAATTCCCATATTTGTGCTTTGTATATCTTTTGCGTTCTTAGCAAACAAGAACAAAGACAATTCCTCTTACTTCGTTACTAAGCTATTCCAATACAGGGACAAACCTGAACATCAACACAAAGATGAAAAAGGGATTATTGCCTATGTTTTCGCTCCTTTATAACAGCATTACATCATAATTTCTACCTTGGAAGGCAATACCGTTAGCGCAATACATTGAGTATGTGAGATGGCAATGTATAACATATGACTTTGAGCAGCACAAGTGGATCTAGAATGGGAGCCATCAATCATGGAGCCACCCCATCAAATTTTCAAAACTTTTACACCTCAAATATTTAAAGTTTTTGAAAGTTCTGAATTCTTTAGAATGACGAAATAAAATAGTAAAAGAAATCAATTTCAAAAAGGAACCACTTTAACTTTGACCAATTTTAAGCTTTGTTTCAAATTCTTTCAATTCTTTTTTTTTTTCAAAACTACTGGGTCACTCGGTATTACTGAATCAAGTGACTTTCCTTTCAGCTCATGCTCTCCATTTCAGTCTCTAGTTAATCAAAGACAGATTTATGGGTTGTCAGCAAGATACTATTGAGTTCTTGGTTAGTGGATTAATTATGTACCTAATGGGTGTTTGCCACATGCCGTGGGGTTGTTCCTAGAGACGTTGGCACCTTGGTTGTTACCAGATACTTCCACAATGGTGGACACTATAGTTTTATACTTGTAGCTGTTTAATTTAGCATTTGGAAAGCAATTCAGTGAATTCAGTTTTAGCATTCAATTGAACATAGTTATTGAATATGGTGATGGCAAAGCTGATCTTGAAGTGGATCGGAACGTCTCTAGATCATAACATGGTTTATGTGGGCTGCTGTTATTGTCTTAAACTAGATGTCCTCATGAAGCACTGAATCCGTTTATAACCATGTATTAGAATGCGGCTTCATACACAATACACAATATTGTCTGTTCTGTGGACCTGTTTGTGCTGAGCTGTTAGCCTGAAGACAGTAGTAAAAGTGGGAGAGAAACCTTACAGTCAAATCCAATATGATTCACAAGAACAAACCAAAGGGATCAATCTTTCTCATTGTTAGCTCTAAAACCCGACTTCACTGCCACTTAAGAAATTGTAAAACCATTTTAAACAAGATCAGCACCCTATTTTCCTCTAATTTAGCTCTAAAACCCGACTTCACTGCCACTTAAGAAATCGTAATACCATTTTAAACAAGATCAGCACCCTATTTTCCTCTAATTCTGTTTTATTCACACCCCCGTGACCCCACATATGCTACAAAGTCTACACTCCTCTCTCTGTCTCCCGTGGTCAGCACCACTGTAACCCTTACGTTCCTAAAGCTTGCATCAATAACCTAGGTAGTTAATGTTTATATACTAATGCAACGGAGACCCTTAATCACCAATCATTAGTGAAACAAATAGTAGCACTTCTAAGAAATCACATCAATTGCATTTTCTATTATATTTCTTGTTTAATTAACCTTTTATAAGCAACAAAAGTATAACCTACAACCATAAAGCTTTTGAACAAAATAAAAATAGAAAAAAAAAAAGAAGAAAAAAAAAGAGAGGGAAAATATATTAAAAACATAAGTAAAAGACTTACCTAATCATTGGACTAAAAAATACCACAAAATCCCCCAAAATGTTCAATTGATCAAATAGAAAAAGCTCCATTATTTCAAAGCTTCTATTAGGATATTAGCATACATGGCCTTCTTTGAGCATCCTTCGCATAGCTATTAACATAGGTTGGCAGAAGAAAGAAATATGCAATTCAAAATTGTTTACCTATACATGTTGGTTTCACAAGAGTGAAGAAACAAAAATTTGCCCCACAAGTGCCGAATGAAAAGAAATGGCAGCGTGTGTGAGTCTCCTTTGCATGGCTATACAAACACCAACTAAGAACCAGATCTAACTTTAAGATCATTCTCAAATTATAGAAAATGACACACGGGGAGGTGCGTAGGTGCCCTGATTTGCATTCCAAGGGGAAGAGCACGGACACGCCTCGACAACGCCGTATAAAAAGATTTAAACCCTCTAAAGTAGTCTTCTTTTATAGAGTTTGAACAGCGGACAACGTAGACTAACCTAAGAGAGCATCCATTCATCCATACAGCATTACACTTCAGATGCTTAGCCTTGGTTTTTGTCATAGCCAGACATTGAGTAGATAGCTAAGAAATGTCAAGAGAACAAAATGTTGTGCCTTTGCTTTCATTTGACACCTATTTAGGGGAGAAAGAATAATCAAATATTAAAAGGGTTTTAGTCGGCTAGGGATGCATCAAAGGGAGAGTCCTAAAGTTTTTTCTTATTACCATCTTGTGTTGATGTTTTCAGCTCACGCTGGTGCAAATATCATTTGTTATCCTGATGAAACATGTGGTCCACAATTAGATAAAGTTGTTTTGTTTGTGATTCTAGCTCCCAAGTGACTCAAATTTCTGGCTTTTGGTTAAACACGACGGCTAAACTACACTATCAAATCGCCCCTCATGAGTAGGTTCTCGAACTTTGCACTTGAAAACCAAAGCACATAGGAATTTAGCTAAAATCTACTCTACAAATTCCATATGGCAACAAACAATGATCAACAAAGGAAAAAGGAAATGAAGACAAACCTGTATCCGCTTCTCCTTTTTTCTTTCGTTCCTCTTTACAGACTTAGTCTTGGGTTTCGTTGTATCAACGGAATTATCATCATAACCCGGCGGTCCAGCCGCTGAGGCCATCTCCTTTTTCCACTGCATTACAAAAGTAAAAATCCCACTCTGAGCTTCCTTTCACTAAATTCAAACAACTAACTTCTAACCTTCCCAATTTCCACAAACAATCAAACCGAGACGAAAAAAAACACGGGTTTATCAAAAAGATTCAAACTTTTTCACTTTTCTTTTTATTTCTAATCACCAAACATTCCAACTGACACTTTTGTAGGCAAAAGGCAAAAGGGTACAAAGAGAGAAAATGATATCATACCAAAGCACCTTTGGATTGGTAAATGGCGACTTCCTCTTGGGGGACATATCCAGCCCGAATGCGGATTGGTTTACGGAGCGTACCGTCGGGTCGTCGGGTTGGCGCCAGAAGCCTCTCCCCTTCTTTTAGGGTTTTGCCAAGCTCCGCCAATTGCTTAAGCGGCGGATCTCCTCCTTCTCCTCCGCTTCCATTGTTACTGCTCGCCATGGCTGATTGATCACCAAATCAACTTTGTACTCCTAGAGAGAGAGAGAGGAGAGAGGGGAGAGAGAGAGCTGGTACTTTCGCTTAGTTGGCTACTTCGCTGGTTTCTTTAGTTCCAACATCCAACGAAGCAAAAGTAGAGATGGCCACCAGGGCGAATCAATAGTAACATCCGGGCCCTTCTCGTCGGGTAAAAGCATTTTCCATTTAATCCTTAGGGTTTAGGCGTGCAATTGACGGGGAGGTGATTAAAAATAGAAAAATGACGGTTAAAGGTGAGATTTTTTTTATGAATTTTTTGCCACTCATATTTTTAACGTAATATTTTATAATATTAGCACAAGAATTAACGTTAACTGTCAGTTAGTAGAGAAGACATGAAGAATCTCACTTTTTAAAGAGTCCAATTGACCATTCTCTTAAAAATATTTTCACAAAAAGATTAGTTTTACTCAACATCTCCAAAGCGAACATCAAATTTCATTTTGATAGCTAACTTGGTAATTTGATATATTATCAATATTTTTCTTTCATCCAATATGCTAAAATTTATTGTTCCATTTATGTTTTTTAAACAAAAATAATAAAGAAAGATGGGTTGCTGTTGGTTTAAAAATAATAAAATAATAGTTAAATATGATAGAATTTAAAGTAAAGCAGTGGAATGATTTTGGAAATAACAAAAACTAGATTTGAAGGGAATAGTACGTCATTTGTTTCTATTATATATACTAGCATACGGTCAAATACAAAGTGTGTGAGAAATTTTTTTATTTTTGTTTTTGAAATAGGAGAGAGGATGAAAGTGATAGAGAATGTGGGAGTGAGATTTTTTTTTTAATTGGAGATATGTTAGGATTACGTGAGATTTTGAAAAAAAATAGCAAAATTTGGTTGTGTGAAATTACATTTCTATCTCATATTTTTTATTAATGTTCTGGTTTAATTAGAGGGTTAAAATGATAATTTCATAGATTTTGGTTGACAATGAATATTTTATTAATTAATAGGGATTATATAGTGACATTTTTTACATCTCCTCTGGAGATGTTCTAAAACGACACCAACTATTTTTTATTTTTCTTGAACAAATGATATTATCTACATTAAGGGAAGGGGATGAGCTTAACCTCATAATAAACTAGCAAAAATATAGTTCAAATTTGCCTTTGACGAGAATCGAACATAGGATATCTCATTTATAAGTTAAGTTAAGAAGAGGAATATTACACTGGCAGTTACTATTAAACTTTTAAATAATAATTATCATTAAATTAGTTCAAATTAGTTTAAGAGAGGTGTATTCAATTGAGAATGTGAGAGATTTTAATGGATTTATAAATCCATGGATTTTTATGGAGTTTAATTGATTTGTAGAGATTCCAGATAAAATTTTGATTCAATTCCCTCGAAATCTCATGGGAATAGGTGAGATTTGTGGATACTTAAAATACACTACGAAATCTCTCCAATTCCCTCTAATTCTTTAACTTTCTCAAATTCTTTAAAATCAATTTCTAATTGAATACACCTGGAATGTTATAAACTTCTTTAAAATCTTAATTGAATACACTGGATTTCTAAGAATTTTAATAAACTATTTTGAAATTCTAATTGAATACACCTGGAATTTCAGAGAATCACTTAAAATCCTAATTGAATAATCCTGGAATTATTAATTCCCTGAAATTCTCTAATAATCCTAATTGAATACAACCCTCTAAGAATCAAAGGGTGCGTTTACCAATTGGAGCCAAACGGAGTCCAGCAAATTCCCCGCCCATCACATCGGAGCCAAATGGAGGTGATGATGGCGCTTCAGGTGATTAGCAGCTGGTAGTGCTACTGGTGATTAGCAGCTGATTGGGTCCCAATTCGGAGGGATTGGGCTGCGTACGGTTTAGGAGGAAGAGCAGATGATACAGCGGGTCTCATCCTCCTCGTTGTTGTAGTTTGGGTGGCGGCCCTGGTGGATCAAGTGGTGGTGTGGTTGGGATCTATGGCCATGGTGATCTCTCCGGGCAGTGGGTGTGGGTGTTCTTTGATTGTCAGTTGATTGAATTGATTGGCGTTCCTTGATCTCTATTGGGTTGCAGGCCAAGTGTTTGCTTTTTGTCCCAAAAGAAAGAAAGAAAGAAAGAAAGAAAGAAAGAAATAGAGAAAATGGACAAGACCTCCAAAAAGAAGGGTAATTTTAGAAAGGGCAAGGATGAAAAGCTGATTGTTGAATCTGATGGTTGGTGGTGGTTGATCCACAGGGGAATCACAGCTTCATTCTTGTCCATTGCATTGTTTTCCTTGTTGGTTCGAGCCGCGGTCTCGCTGCATCCTTACTCTGGTGCTGGAAATCCTCCCAAGTTTGGGGACTTTGAAGCACAGAGGCATTGGATGGAGATCACTATCAATCTCCCAATCAACCAATGGTATCGAAACAGTACGGTCAATGATCTCGGATACTGGGGTCTTGACTACCCTCCTCTCACTGCCTATCAGAGTTATGTTCATGGCCTTTTCCTCAGACATTTCAGTCCTGAGTCAGTTGCGCTTTTCGCTTCCCGTGGCCATGAGTCCTATTTGGGAAAACTACTCATGAGGTGGACGGTGTTGTCTTCTGATGCCTTGGTGTTCTTTCCTGCTGTTTTACTTTGTTCTTGTTTACTATGCTGGTCAAAACCCAAGTCGCCGAAGGAGTGACATAGCGTGGCATATCACCATTATTTTACTCAATCCGTGTCTCATCCTAATTGATCATGGTCATTTCCAGGTTACATTTGATTTTTCTATTGCATTCTGCACATTTTTGTTGGCGTCCATGCAATATTTGTGGTTCTTACTCGGAACTGTTTAGATTTACAATCTTTTTGTTTTTGGTTTTTGTTCAGTATAATTGCATCAGCTTGGGTCTGACTGTGGGAGCTATTGCCTCTGTTCTTTCGGATAAAGATCTTGTAGCCTGTGTCCTATACAGTCTTGCTCTAAACCACAAACAGGTATCTTGTGATTCGGTTTTAAAGGTGCCTCATGGTTGTTTAAGTTTCATTCTTTATTCTTAGTGACATTTGTATTTCCTCCCTTAAATGTGGCATGAAAACTAAATTGTTGTATCGAAATTGTCAAGCGACATTTTAAATTTTGCCTCAAACGTAATTGGAGAAAGTTAGCATATAATATTGGAAAATAGATTTCTGAAAGTGAACACATAAGTGGCTGGCTCTTGCATATTAATGTGAGAATTAATGCACTGTCTTTTTTCACTAATCAAAATACGGGTGGTAGGTGACTTGATCTAATGAAAGAGTGGCTACGGTGGTTACCATGAATCACACGATGACGTGATCCACTGGACCACTGGTAGTTACTTTTTTGTCATAATCATCTTGTTCTTAATAGATGATTTGGAACTTTGCCCACAGTTTTCACAAATCACGACATTGATTTCTCATTCTTTGTTTTAAATGGAAACCTAAGCCTGAGGAGGGTGGATGGTGAGAGCCCAATTCTTATCATAGAGGACGCTATCAGTAGAGCTCCCCTAGGACCCCCACCACAACCTTGTATACCATAAAAATATTGAAATTATTTCATGATTCAAGTTCAGAATATTTTGGAATAACAAATGAATTGTCCATTTTGGAAACTCACTCAGTCTCATTAGAATAAATATGAGTGGAACCCACTTATTTACCAAAATTGATTCTACAGCAGAGAATAATACCCATTTGCTGAACGTAATATGTTTTTCTGCAGATGAGTGCGTATTTTGCTCCTGCATTTTTCAGTCATCTCCTGGGTAAATGCCTAAGGCGCCGGTATCCTGTTCTAGAAGTGTTAAAACTTGGCCTTGTGGTCCTGGGAACGTTTGTTGTTGTATGGTGGCCGTATGTTCATTCAACGGAAGCCTTTTTTGGGGTAAGCACTAGTTAATTTTGTCAGTTTGTGAATTTTCAGCTTCAGTTTGTTTCTTTTAATAAAAATCTATAACTTAAACTCAATCTTCTCTGTGGTTCTACTTCCGAGGTCTAGTAAACCATGACAAAGTTATGCTGTGCGCTTTAGCTCATGCCCAAACTACAAATATATACACTGGTTCACATTTTGCTTCAGAATGTTTTTAGCCAACTAAAAGAATGCGGTTATGTGGGTCATATGTCTCAAGCATTGAAACTCGTGACTCACTTGTATATGGTGCTGGATTTTACACAGTTATGTGGATCATAAGTCGCAGGCATTGAAACACTTTACTTGTTTTTAAGTTGCCCCAATGTAGATGTCAAATTATTGATGGCACTGTTGTGTGGGTTTAATTTAAAACTAACAACAAGGTCAACTTAGAGAATCATTGAAGATGTTAGACATAATAAATATTAGTTAAAAGTTAATGACACTTGATTTATGTGTTTATTTCTTATTCTTATGAAGAAAGAAAATTTAATAGCATACGGGTATTTAGAAGGTAAAGAAGATATATATATATATATTTGGTAAAAAGAATCAAGATATGCTTGGTTTCTCTTGTTTACAACACACAACAGGTGTTTGTTTCCTTATTAGTTTTGGTCAATTGTGCAGGTTCTCTCTCGTCTTGCTCCTTTTGAGAGAGGGATATTTGAGGATTATGTAGCTAACTTTTGGTGCACCACTTCGGTTCTTGTAAAATGGAAGAGATTATTTCCGACACAGTCCCTGAAGCTTATCAGCTTGGGTGCAACTGTTTCTACTTTCCTGCCTTCAATGATTCAGCAGATATGGGCTCCGAGCAAGCCGGGTTTCCTTTATGGGTTGCTGAATAGTGCTTTCTCGTTTTATCTCTTCTCATTCCAAGGTTAGTGAAGTTTTCCCATCGTCTCAACTTCTGTTCATGATTTCACGATACTACAGTGCATAATGCTTCTTGTTCTTAACTTCCAGTGCACGAGAAGTCTATTTTACTACCTCTCCTGCCAGCAAGTCTTTTGGCAATGGAAGAACCATTTCTTTTTACCTGGATGACACTTTACGCCTTGTTCTCAATGTTCCCTCTTCTACACCGTGACAAACTGGTTCTACCCTATCTTGCACTATCTGCTCTCTTTATCCTTTTAAACCATGTGCCGAATGGAAGACGGACCACTAGGGACACAAGCGCCTTGAGATCATTTGTGATCACAGTCTCTGTCTTGTGCTCAGTCGTTCTTCATGTTGTTTATCTAAGCCTGCATCCCCCTGCCCGGTATCCTTTCCTTTTTGAAGCTTTGATAATGCTCGTTTGCTTCTCCCAGTTCGTCATTCTTACTGTTTACACCAATGCAAAACAATGGATGTTGCTTAAACACTCCAACTTGGTAGATAAAGAAAAGAAGCTCCTTTGAAACCTCTGTATTTAGGTAGATCAGGCAGCAAGTTTTGTGAAAGGACTTGATAGATTCCTTCAGTTCGACATCGGGCCTCGACTCAACTTGATTTGCACCATCAGATGCTCCCCGAGATTGAATTGTATGACATTGGTTCATTTGGATTCCGGCAAAAACAAACAGCTTCAGTGCTTCTTCTTGAAGAATTCCATGACCGGAAATTTGTATTCCGGCCAAATTTCAACTTGCATTTTTGTTTGTAAACGTGTAATCTTTACAAATTGGTTCATTTGGATTCCGGCCAAAACAAACAGCTTCAAATATACATTACTCGTCTAACGTCCATGTCTTGACCAATTAAAATTGTGTTTTCGTATTTAAACACCGAGTTGACCATGTTCTCTCATTTTAGCCTAATTGGAGCTTTGGTCACTAAACTAAAAATTCGCGAGTGTCGGTCCCTAAACTTGTAATAATGTAGAGCAATAGTACTTTTAGCTAACTCTGTTAGAACATCCATTCATTTTTGGCCCTTTAAACCCTTTATTTTGGTTAGAAGTTCTAACGAAATTAGTGAAAAATCACATTATAACAAGTTCAGGATTAATGCTCACGGATTTTTAGTTTAAGGACAATGCTACAATTTTCTGTAATTTTAAATTGCGTGAAAAGACAAAAGAGGACATTATTTGATTTCACCACCTCCGTCTTCTTTTCCATCCTCCCGGAAACCGCATCAAGCCTGCGCTTTGGCCTGTCGTCCTCCCCAACTCAACCTTGCCCCCAATGCCCTCGCCAAACAATACTCGTCCTCTTCGCAAACACCGTTGTCCCGTTCGTCGCCTCGTTCACCATCAGGTTCGACATGAATCAAAACCCAGAATTCAACGACCCAGATAGAAATCATATCAGAAGCAACCTCAACAATATGGAAATACATCCTTTAGAGCAAAAACACAAAACATGATACATGTCACATAACCATTCAAGATTACAATTGCTTAACGTGCTTTTCAATACACAACCTTTTTCTTTCTTTTCATGATTCCATCTACTCTTGTAAAACTTTGTGGACAACCTACGGTTTTTACATACACAACCAAATGAAATTAGCTTTCAGAACAAGGGCAAGAAACCTGGATCCTTTTGGTTGGACCGAGTTGAAAGCAGCAAAAACTTTACACCACCTGTTTGCATGCCAAGTTGAGGGGGCCAACGGGACATTACTTAAGTTAGTTGAGGTGCAAGTCGGCCTCCATGAGCTTGAATGAAGCGAAAGGTTAAAAATGAGGTTCCCATTGAATGATCATTCCCTCTTGTCTTCTTCTGTATCATCTTCATCAAAATCTTTGGCGTTGTCAATGTTCTCTTGCTTGACTAAGCTGATATCACCCTCTGGCTTGCCCCTCGTAAGAGATTGAGATTCTTCATCGTCAGATTCTTCTCCCACTTCATCCGAGTAAGCATACCTATGGACATTCGGCAGTACAAATAAGCTCAGTCGGGAACAAGGGAATCCTACGAATTCTATGACATGAAAGAATATGTCTAACAAGTGACAATATCAGTTACAGATAGAGTCCATCAAGTCAAAATTGAGGGAAGCATTCCATCAATTGCATTAGAAACCAAAGAATATTGTGGCACCACACTTCCACTCCACCACTTTCTCGAGAGACTAGATCTCTCAACTGCACACCTTCAAGGGCATTTCCCACATAAAAACTTATCAATAGTACTGATCGTTCAGAGTATGGTGATTCTGATTGAATACGAAAGTAGGGAATATTGAGCCCACTTTAGTCAACCACCGTACGAGACTTTTCCATTTAGAAATTTCAATAAACAAGAAAAGAAAAAAAATCATTATATTGACTACAAAAGAATACAAAGTTATAACGCACCGTTGAGAACTCTGGGATGGAGCCCAAAGATAGCAGATAACACACAGCAATGCAAATGCAAGAATATCCCAGAAAGCAGTGATGACCCAAGCACTTTGCCACTTCTCGTTGAATGGATCTGTTGCTTTAAAGTACACCTGCAAGTACAAGCTTATCAAATGTAAGGTACATCTTCAAACCCAAGAAAATTATAAAAATTTGAAAGGATAAACACAAGCATACAAAGAACCGAAGTTCAAAACAAAACAAAAAAGAAACAGAAAAAGGCGATAAATTCTAATAAAGTAGCTTTAGTTGTATTTATTCTATTCTCTTGTAACTGAACCCTTAATAGTGCACAACCAACCTAATTTTCGATCACTCTAAAGGTAATTAACTGTAAAGAAACACAACTTTGTAGAGCAAGCACTATGCATAATATTAGTTCAGTTACTCACTATCTAGCCGTTACACAGTATGAGTATCATTTAGTCTGTCTGCGAGTAAAATCTACTAGTCTGCTAATCATAATGCCTTCCTTACGTTAAGGAGACAATAGGCAATGATACTTTTTCTACTGCAAGATTTCTAGTGTAACACAGTAACCTCATAATCTCTTATGCTATTTGTTCAGTAAACTGTGGTTCTGTATATTACAAGTACAGTGCAGGATACATGTGTTGTTACTGCACATAAGCAGCAATGTAAAGCACCACCAGTCCAAAATAATACAGGACAACATATGAAAACTCTTCGGCCAGGGATTCAAAATCAATAGTAAAATCAAGCCTGAGTGTGACTGTAACACAATATAGCAAATTCTACACCATTAAAGGCTGAAATTCTACAACTGCACAGTAGGATCATCAAACTGAAAACGGCACAGGTAGGGTTGTGATCTTCCCAAAGGAATTATATCTTTTAAGTTTTAACACCAATGGCTCTTACTCTACGACCAGGGGGGATCTCAGCGCATAATCAGAAGCCACGAAGGAATAGTGGTGAGTACATAATCATATGCAATCCTATTTAATTTCATATGGTGAATTGCTAGGATTCCAATTTGGCTTCAATTGAAACCTTGATAAGAGTATGTTTCCAATTAGACAAAACACACTCAGAGTCCTCAGTGTTTGTTGTGCAGGTTGAAGATATGAAACACTCGAACAAAATTTTCTAGTCAGCCAAGGATGCAGTAACTCATTGTTTATCTGGGCCTAGTAAAGATAAATAAAAGGAATGTAAGTTTATACGAGTCTCAGTAAAACCAAGTAATTCTTACAAAGGTAAATGTGACAGGATTTACTCTTTGGGTGATTTTGATTAAATATATCTTCTTGCCCCATCCACTTATTGTGTGTGCTTGTGAGTGAGTGAGTGCAAGACAGAAAATAGGGGAAATGCTGTAGTAAAGTACCCAAGCATATAAGATTTAAGATATTCAGATCCATATTAAGGATGAACTGAGCCATTAAATGAATATCAATTTGCACAGTATACTGGCCAATAAAACCATACCTCATACACTATCCATGCAACTGAGGCAATGACTGCGACTGCTAATGCATTTGAGAACTTCCTATACATATCCAGTTTGACAGAGCTTCTCTTTGCCTGAGAAGAACATATAGTTTAACATTTAAAAATGCCATGTTATGGAGAGAATAAAATGCCAAGTAAAGCATGAGCTCAAGAAACAACACTGCCGTTGTAACTTAAATAGAGGAATTTAAATTATTATACCTGTAGCTGCTCTAGCGTTTTAGAGAGAGAGGTAAAAATCCATAATATCAAAAATGCGTCCAAGAAAGCATCAGGAAGAACTAGAAATAATCTTGCTCTTCCGGATACATCATTGATTGTCCCCACATACTCTGTAATATTAAGCAACTCTGTGGCCAGAAAAAATGTTATTCCAAGGAGAATCACCTTTGAGGTAAGACCCCCAAGAGTGGGCCGCACCACACCATAACCCATGGAAACAATGAGGATAAGAAGACGGGAAACTGTTTTTCTTACAGCTCCAACCGTCACAACCAATGTTGTAACAACAATTGGCCTCATCCCTGTACTATTAAAATTATCATAATCACAATACCAAAGAATCATCTCAAACAACCCAAGAGCAATAACAGCTGTGATGCAGTGCTGAAGTTGCAGAATATCCTTCCAAAACCTCACATACTGAGTGAACCAAATTATTCCAAGCAACACGTAAGCAAGTGACATAAACACATAAAACTTCATTAGTGGAGCCATTCGACCAGGTAGGTAACCATCAGGATTTTTCCACAAAGTCTTCCCGCTCATAGTTACTCCCTTCAGTTTTGGATCACATGCTACAAAGAACAAGTTATACATCCCAGTTTTTGGGATTAAAATCTCTTGATAACCCATGTTTGTGTGCAGGTAGTTCCCACTGAACCGTACATTTAAAACAATAGGCCATTTATTATCTGTTGCAGAAGGTCTCCTAATGACTTCACCTTGCTTACAACCTTCCATCTTAGCGAGATCAGGAGAGCAACATATATCTCTTTGTCCACCATAAGCAGAACCACCAATATTATTACGATCAGCTGCCTCAAATATTATAACTTGTATCAACCCAGTACTATGCTTCATGTCTGAAAGCTTCTCAGCAGCATCCTTGCTCCTCCAGAAGGTGATATTCTCGAATCTGTTCCATTCGGAAATGTCAGAAACAAAAGTGATGATGAAATGTTTATTTAGTGAGGAGAGACAGGAATGAAGGAGCAACGTGCACATACAACACGACTATGTTGCTGTCAAATAAATCCTACCATGCAAATGCAATGGACTATGAATTCAGTTACATTGTCTGCACAATATAATGTAGCGGTGTCCTTAGACTTAATCAGATACAAGAATGATTATGCACTTGGTGAATGGAGATGTGAGGACCCTCTGAAACTTAGAAATGATGCTTACAATAAATAAAACTAGAAGATCTACTTGAGCTTCTTCAAGAAAACATTTGTGAATTTAGTTTGCACATTGTACCATTCACGAAACAACTTCAAGAAATCCTTTTTTTTTCTCCTTCCTGTTCATGGATTCCACAGGATCATAGTTCCACCATACTTCGAATTCATCGTCTATTAATTTGCATTGAAAATGTAGTTGGATGCTTCTAACTAAAACTCAATTTTATACTAAACCCTTCATCATTGAGATATTACTATGTTTGTACTTAATTTCCCCACTTCTGGTCCATCCCACATTCAGAGAAATTCAATAAATCTTTTACCTTTTCTACATACAACACATTTTCTTGGCTACCCAATTAAAAATAGAAATCCCCAAATCGATCACCCACTTCAAAATTCAAAAATCTAAAATCTTGCAAAAACCCAAAGGTTCAAAATTCAAAAAACCCAAAAATTGAATGAAGCAATTGTACACAGATGACAGATCTAGCAATAAGCTGAAAGAGATGCA